TATTGAAAACACAGTTAATAGAGTTAAAACAAAATGTTGTGGACGAAAATGTCCAAAGAAGTGATTTGGAAGTACTGAAGAATAAGTTTAAAGTGCTTGAGACAGAGATAAAGTCAATTTCGATTCTTTGTTCGGATTATGTACGGAAGAAAGTATTGATGCTTACGTAAAAGAGAAAGAAGAGATTGACAATATTCTCTTAGTAGATGTAGAAGTCAAATTAAATCGTAAATTAGTTAAACTTTCCACAGAAATTAAATCAGAGCCTTCGGTTTGCACAAATACTGAGAACAATGTTAAATTATCCAAAATTATTTTGCCAACGTTTTCGGGTAACTTACACGAGTAGCTTTCACTTAAAGATATTTTTTAGCCAGTGTTGATTCAAATCCTAATTTAACAGATGTGGTCAAATTACAGTACTTAAAATCTGCGCTAAAAGAGGAGATGCTAATCGTATTGTTCAGTCAATATCCATAGTTGACTCTAATTATAAATTAGCCTTTTCATTACTAGAAGAAAGGTTCTCTAATCACCACGAACAAGTGTATGTTCATCTGAAACGATTTATGAATATGCATCCTACGCAAAATGAGTCTGCGTCAGCAATATTAAACTTAATTGACATTACAAATGAATGCGTGAGATCACTAGAAGTTTTAAATCAGAGCGTTCAAGGGTTTTCTTCCAATGTATTTGCATACATTTTAGGGCAAAAATTAAATCCTAACACCAAAATATGGTGGGAAAGAAAATTAGAGAAGGAGAATTTGCCTAATTTAACAGATCTTATAGAATTTCTTAAAGATCATGCAAGAACTCTCAACGCTTCAAAGAGTGTGACTAATACAAAAAAAGTTACACATACAGTTACTGCTGTCGTTTCTAATGCAAATAAAAAACATATACAGAATTCGTGTAGATTATGTAATATGAGCAATCACAAGCTTTTTAATTGTCCTAAATTTCAGAAATTAAAGTGTAAAAGAAAGGGTAGAATTTGTGAAAAAAAACAGAATTTATGTTTTTGTTGTTTTAATTTGCACAGAGTGAGAAATTGCCGTTCTAATTACTTGTGCAAGAAGTGTAAGAAAAAACATAGCTTTCTTTTATGTTATCAAAACAAAAATAATTCCGTTGGTACCACAGTAAAAAGAGCAGACACTTTAGATCAGGAGTTGGGTGATCAAAACAGCAATGCGTTAAATATGCATGCACCTGCATTTCAAGCTAAAACTCAAAATGAAACCTTTACAGCCACTACGGGTACTAACAGTGGGAAAAATATGATTTTATCTACTGCCTTTGTATTCATTGAGACTAAAGATGGAACTTTAATTAAGGTGAAAAGCGTTATGTGATAGTGGAAGTGTTTCTTGTTTTTGTACCACTGAATTAGCGGATATACTTAATTTAAAAAAGGGAAAAGACAAATATTTCGTTTGCAGTATATCAGGTATTTCAACTACGATAAAAAGAAAAACAGTTGCCCTTATCTGTAATCAGGAACAAACGTATAAAAGGAAACTAGAGGTTTTGGTAATTCCAAAAATAGCAGGTTTAACCCCCACAAAGTTTATTGACGTTAGTAACCTTGTGATTATTGAGAAGGTAAATTTAGCGGATCAGGAATTTTATAAACCAGAGTAAGTAAACCTGCTGCTCGGCGCAGAAGTTTTTTATGATATGTTACGAGCTGGTAAAATCTACGTTCCTCACACAGGCTTGATATTACAAAATATTGTGTTTGGACATATAGTTAGTGGAAATATAAATGATTCATGGAGAATTAATTTATTGTATTGTGGGTTAATAAATGATAATTCAGAGAATGAATTGAAAATGTTTTTCGAACTAGAATCATTAGGAATTAAAGATGATCCTTATTGTCAAGAGGAAGACAAAGCATTGAAAATATTTAATAAGACAGTTTGTTTTAAAGCTGGTCACTACAAGGTTACTTTACCCTGGAAAAGGGACCGGAATGAATTAGCTGATAATTACCAAGTAGTGGAAAACAGATTAAAAACTCTTGCAAAGGAATGAATTATGACAAAACACTGTTTTCTACATATAGTGAAATATTAGATGATTATCTCAAGCAAGGTATTATTGAGAAAGTTTCAGATGGAAATATACCTATCCGTAAACCAGTCTTTTATCTACCACAGCAACCAGTATTTAGAGAAACCAGTGCTTCAACGAAGACTAGAATAGTGTTTGATGGCAGCTCACATGAGTTCGGGCAGTTATCATTGAACGATTGGCTATGGACAGGGACTATTTTGAATCCTAACATGTTCCATCTGCAAATTAATTTCCGATTAAATAAAGTTGCAATTTCAGCGGATGTGGAAAAAGCACCTTTGCAGATTGCTTTGGCAGAAAAGGTGGTGAAAAAAGAAAAATGCGGTGCGATTCCTGTTTGTGGAAAACACACAATTAAATGATCTAAAACTAGCGACATACAGATTCAAGCGTATAAATTTTGGGATTAAGTCTGTAGAAAGCTATATATAGCTATTGATGGGAAATAGAAGAAGTCAAAACACTTGTTGCTATGGAAATGTTTCCATGGACGTTGAAAGGCAAGTTATGTGTTCTTATCCCCTATGGGTCAGAATATGTTTCAATTCACAGTTCAGGCTATATCTGAATTTGTCAGTAAGCAGCAGATGGTCTCATTCCTCTTAGCTGCACTAAACATGATGTTGACTTTTCCTTAAACAAGCACACAACTGGATTAGGTTTTGAACTGCTTTGTATATATTCATATATATATATGTGTGTGTGTATAAAATATAAAAAATATGATGGCTTTGCTCTACACAAACAGGCAATCTCTAATTAACTTTCTGCAATTTCAGAACTCCCCCCCCCAGACCAGTACTTTCGAGAAGATTCTGGCCTGTTATGTAACCGCTACTATAAATATAGAGTTCGTGCCATTTTTCGTCAGACTGCTTTTCTCCTCCTCCTGCTATCAGACCTTTGCTGCCGCTCTTTCCGTCTTTCTTTGTTTGAATAGTATGACACAATAAATTTAAAGTTAATCCTATCTAGTTTAAATTACTATTGCATATGTAATTTTGGAGAATCTAAAAGAATAATGATTTGCCATTTGAATTGAACAAAAATGTGTAATTAGAAGCTAAATCCTTTGGTGTCATCATTTCTGCTAGATCCCACTTCGCCAAACAACGCATGGACTCACATGCCAAAGTTTGTGACTCCCAGCCATGATGACTGCAAGCTGATTACTCTTTTATGTTCCCGGAAATATTACACACACACACATATATATGCATGTGTGTAAGGTGTAAAATATAAAAAAAAACAAAGTTTAATTTGGCAAGACTCCTTTTTATTTCTCACTTTTAATTTGGCTATCACCCCTTTCTGTTCTAAAAGTAGAAATTGTTTATAATAATTTTGCTGGACTGCACCTTTCAAAATTAATCATTTCATGTTTGCTTGTGTAATTCTGCTGCAATGTGGTAAGTCCTCAGGGAATCAGATTAAAGAAATAGCTTACTATATATATGGTCCCTTTGTTTTCTACTCTGCTTGCTACTACTTAGATGTGTTGTGTAGCCTCTGTTAGCTATTATCCATTGTTCAGAAAATATAAGCCGTACAGAAGCATGAGGTGCAGAGCACATCCATAATTTTGAATTGTAAAGAAGAATATATGTTCTACAATGTATTTATCAAGAAGCAAATTATGTCATATTAACTTCAGCCACAACTACTAGTTTTTTTTTTTTTTTTTTTTTTTTTCATTATGCATCTCAGGTAACTACGCAGTACAACCTCTCCAAGAGCAAAGAAACACTTATCACAGAGCAAAGAAACACTGCAACTATTCCTGGGTCATCTAATTATATATATGTAAAATTTGTAGGTAAATTAGCATCTGTTGATGACTACTAGGCACCATGAAATCATTACAGCATGGACAAGTTATGCCTTTTCAGTGTCATCAATGAAAAAAGCACGTAAAAATTAATTAACACATGCTTTTTTCTTCTTTTTGAGATTCTGTGCTTTTGTTGTTTTTTTATTTGACATGAACATTTTGAAATATGATGGACAAATTTAGGTCTCTGATTCAGCACATTATTAGCTATCTATCTTTACAAAACACCTTCTCATGTATACATGCCAAATAAAGCAACTAAATAACTAAATACACAAAAAAATTAACAAAATCCATAACAGATAAGGGTATTTTCAATTGAAAAGTAGTGAGTAACTTCAATGACGAATAATAAATGCAGTTTTAATCAGTTAATACAGAAATTCAGCATTTAAAGAAAATTTATAGATGGGTAATTTCTTGTCTGTTGCTAGTGAGATTGGAACTCCGAACTGAAGTCATCAGCAGACACACCAAATAACACATAGCAATGTTTCTTATACAATACACATTTTATGTAATGGAATGACTGTTTTTTTTTCCTCCCCTTATTCAAATTCCACAGAAGATACATAAAATTTAATGACCAAACAATTTAAGCTGGTGATAAATAATACAAAACAGAACCAGCACACTCAATTCCCAAATCATATTTATATTGCAAAATTATGTGCTAAATGTTTCTAAAATAAGAAGTTATATGGTTTTGAATACTATATTTAAAGGAAAAATTTCACATTTTATTAATTAGCTTTCACATTTAAAAGTATTATTTAACAATTATTATTACAATTTAACTAATAAATAGCAATTACATCAAATACCTTACACTATTCAATATTTTATTTCCAGACAATCACGCAGCTTTAAAAGTGACAAAAGTTCAGCGGCAATGGATAAAGGATTTAAATATTTCATACATTTAAAATTATTTCCAAAACAAATATTGCCTTATTATTTAAACAAAATCAAGATCATTGGTAAATCATTATTAAAAAAACAAAAGAGGACATTAATGGAAATACACTAATAACACCTAAAAATTAAGTATACATTTGAGAAAATGAAAAACTGGGAATACCTTTGCAACATTTTCATCTGATATTAAAACATTCCGAGCTGCCAAATCCCTATGAACCACTTGTCGTGATTCCAGATATGCCATACCTGCACATGTATCTCTAAAAAGAAAATTAAATCAAATTTAAACAGCTTATGTTATAAGAAATATCACTGCCATATTTCTACCAGCAAAGACAAAATAAATAAATAACTAATAATTCCTCTACTGAAATTTTTCACTGTAAGTAAATTTAACATTTCAGATATAACATGCTTCTATATTTTACACAGACATGAATGTTGCTATACAAAATTCATAAACAGTTATTACTCCAGAAATAATACATGCCAATCATATGTTATTAATAAAGTTCATAATCTTTTACCACAATATACAGTGCATCTGCACAGTTCCATAAAGGAAACTGGAAATATGCACATCCACACCATCTCTGCAAGTGATTGTAACTTTTTTTAATAGCAACTCTGCCAGAGTTTCCAAATTAAAATACATTTAAGACCTATTTTATGAGAGCAATAATAAGTAAATAAAAAAATCAGCCTTTCCCCCACGAAAGCAAAGCGAAGCTATACCACCCTTCTCTTTATTTTTCTTATTACAGTCAAAAGTCTTTAATCCGGACTCGCCAGGGCTTCGGCTATTCCGGATTATAGATCATCAGTTTAAATCTGGTAAGATGGCATGTAGAAATTATAAAATTAAAAATATGAAACCGTAATTTATGAAATAAAGAGCAATTATGATCTAAAGGGTATCAAAATTTATAAAAAAAAAAGCTTTATATTTATTTGCTTACTTTATTGAACATTTCTTTCAACGCGCGCATGCGTAAAGCATACATCATGCATAGTCGAAATTAGAAAATTGCAACCAGAAAACTATTTGATGTGTATTCGTGATATTTATAATGACGAGGAATTTGATTTGAATCATATCAAAGACGGAGAACATGGAGATGAATACTACATTTAGTAAGGAATTATAAGCCGAATAAAATAAAAACATCTGCCCTGAAGATAAGGATAGTGCTGACAGATGAACTTCCAGTTCCTTGCGCCCTGCGACGTTCCCCCGCAGAGCAGCATGAAATTGATAAACAGATTTCGAAATGGTTAGAGAAACAAAAGATATGCCTTTATCCATTTTTTGCAGCAATTCCACTTTTTGTTTGATGGACATTGAAACATGCTTTCACTTTGTAGATTTTTTGACAGCTCCAGAATCGGAAATTCTTTTTGACATAATCAAAAGTTTAAGCTTACTTTTATAAAATTGCTCTAACAGTCTGCAAAAAATAATAAGCCGGATCCAATTCGAAGATTAAGGAAAAATGCAATCTGCAACATTAACTGAAATAGATAATTAGATAATTTTAGCCTAGCTTATACCATCCGTTATACGTTAAACGTGCATGCGAAAAACGTGTTATGTTTATGCGTAAAGGTTAATATGCGCATGAAAGTTTGTAGCTTTCAGGTCCGGATTATAGATCATTCCGGATTATGAACGTCCGGATCAAAGACTTTTGACTGTATACCATAATGTTAGAGTTTCCAAATCTTTAAAATATATTTAGTCTTTCTTAACGAATAAATTTTTTTCAGGATTTTCACAATACTATCAAGAAGACAGAGATGCATTTTATTCCCGGCTTTTGTTTTGATTTAGGCTATGAGAGAGAATACATCCTTATCTAGTTTTACTAACAGAGATTAACAGACAAGTCTGTTATATGATTAGAAACTTAATTCTGCTTTAACAAGCCAGGTACACATTTTCCTTGTTTCAATTTTGACATAATCCAATCAAGAATGCAGCAAAGGATAAAACTGAAATTATGTTTACTGGTATATCTGTGTCAAAAGCACGCAAAATGACATATGTTTGTTTTGGTCCTGTTGCATAAAAAGTTAGAAAATCAGGGAGGCATTAGCCTTCATATGCTTTCCATCATCAACTAAAAGCACACACAAAAGCATATTATATGAAATGTATCCATTTTTTTAATGACGCTCATTTAAAAATGGATACATTAAACAGATACAGAAAAATGGATAATAATTAGTTAAGATCAAAGCCACAATGATTTTAATTAATTGAAGAGCAAACAGTCAATGGCTTCTGCAAGAAGTAACACAATATCATCTCAACAGTATATATTGAAAAGGAAGCATGGAATAATCCCTTCTTAAAAAGAGAAAAAGAGACTGACACATATCTTGATCCTTGCAGCCATTTTTAGTTAATACAGTCAAATCGTATTATGAAAAATTTCAGGACGACCGAGAGTTTGATTTGCTGTGTCCAGTGGTTTGTTATAACTGATCTGATAAGAAAAAAAGCATTATTTCACAAAAAATATTAAATTTGACTAATTATTGTTGTCACATTTAACAAAAGAAATTAACAATAACTAATTAAAAATTTATATTATGGATTAATTACAATCATTAAATTTCTTATTTGCTCTTTTTTCAGTTTCACCTATGATAATAATTTTACACAATAAATTACTTAGCATTAAAGTCATGGTTTAGACTTGAAATTTGTACCTCCAGCTAAAATAAACTTTTATAATTATGAATAATTCTTTTCATAACATAATATAATCTACTAAGGTATGATTATTATGTGTCATGGTTTTCTAAGAACTGTTATACTTGCTTCAAGAACCTCTGTTCTTCAAAGAACACAGAAATGCAAGGAACAATGAAGTAAAGGTGTTTTTCACAACCCTACTTTTATAAGTATATATGATTTTACAGTAATTTTTCAGCTAAAACTTGCACAAATTCTGGAAATTTTTTTGAAAGATTCAAAAAATGTTTCAAACAACAGCTTTAAATAACACATAAAGTTTGCTACATCCAAATTTTATGATTATGAAGTTCTGCTTTAGCCATACAAAATAACATTACGTGCATAAGAAACTACACAGGATAAAAAAGTTTGCTCATTATAAACTGGGTTCACTACAGTGGGATTTAACTGTATTAAATGATTTAAATGCTCTTTGTGACTCTCTGAATTTAGCTCCAACAAATATTTTTACAGTGTTTTTTCCCAGAGATGGAGGAAATATGTCCCTTTTTAACATTTTGTACAACTAACAAGAGAAAGAAGAAATTTTAAAATATTGGAATTCTTTAAAAACCAACTCCTTTTTATGGACATTTTATATAATTTATTAAGTTTTACACAAAGCCACAAAAATATTCCATTACATTTAAACTCACTGTTCAAAGTTCTGTGATTAAATTTATGCTAAGTTTTGAATACAATTAACTTTTTCCCTGCATACACTTATTTATTGTAAATGTACATTTTTTTACAGGGGCAAGAACTAGATGCAAATATCGAAATTATGTGCTGTATTAAATAATTCTGTGTGAACAAATACATGAGGCAGAATCAAAAACTTCCTGAAGTTCTGTAAGGTGCCATGAAATGGCAGCACAAGCTATAGCAACCTTCAGTCTTGATAAGGCAGTATGCCAGAAACCTCACTATATTATCATCAAGGTTATTACAGTAGTATTTTTGTAATTACATGTGTAAGACAGTTTAAAATTATACAGTTTAACCCTTTCTGGACGGGCGTCCCATATACACATTCCCTGAGAATGTCTCTTACACCTGGGTGTTCCATCCATGCACCACTAGGGATCGCATTTAGAGGATGGGTGATGTGTATATGCATTTTAAGCTGGAACGTTATTCTGAAGACCATTAGATGGAATCCTTATGTTTTAAATGAACATTATGTTTGAAATGAACACAGTTTTAGATTCCTGACCTTGAGTTTGATATATTCTGCCTGACTTTGGTATTTGACTCATCAACTGTTGCGAGGGTTGGGGTGGGGGGAGGTAAAGCGTAAACAGAGATGGGCTATTTAAGTCGCAGCGTGCTAATATAAACATTCATGTATCTGATTTATATCCAATTCCCTTTTTTTTCCTCTACTATGTACAGTCTTTTAGGGTTACTATGTAGAGTTCTGTTATGTTTTGCATTGCCTTCAGATATATTTCGTGTTCTTCTCTTTTTATTTCAGAAAGCCTCATCTCCAGTCTACTATGGTGTGAAGGCGCTATTAATCAGAGGAAGAATACACTCATAGAATTAATGAACCATTTACTAACACAGATGAGAGTGATGATTCATTTTCTAAAGAGTTAGAAAAGTGATACCTTTTCTGAGAGTTAGAAAGTAATACTCCTCCGTACTTCGAGATTTACCACACTCAGTCTTCATTTTAAATTTTGTTACTTTTTACTTTTAATAGTCTTTATTGTGTTGTTTTATTAATTTTAAACTTTACTGGTGGATTTTATCAATTAAAACTTTGGAATAATTTGAAATACTGCTTTGAAAAATTATTTTACAAGATAAGCAATTTTTTAAGTATATTTTCATGTAAAATAAAGAAAAAAGGTTATTAAATGCTAATTTTAACATATATAAGAGCTCAAGCAATAATCTAAAATGATACCAAAAATTACGATGATCGAAGTGAAACTTATTATTATTATTTTTTTTCTGTTTTTTTTTTTTTTTTTTTTTAAATAAAATTAGGCTTAGTGATGCAAAATGCCCGTTCTGTACGGTGACTGCCTTCGGTTCCTTTCCGCCCCGCACAAATATCTTAAACAAAGGTGCGTGGCCGCGAAAGGGTTAAGGAAAGGGAACAAGCCAACACAAAATTCATGCATTAAACTGGACAAACTGGCCTCAGAGAGCAATGTTTTGAGTTGCACAGGTGCTTCAAAGGCAGAAGATTGTTTAGTTTATTTGCTTGTGTCAAAGCACACGTGGGTGAAGCAAAATGCCCGTTCTGTACGGTGACTGCCTTCGATTCCCTTCTGCCCTACACAAACGTCTTACACAATGGCGCGCTGCCGCGAAAGGGTTAAGGAAAGGGAACAAGCCAACACAAAATTAATGCATTAAACTGGCCTCGAGAGCAATGTTTTGAGTTGCACAGGTGCTTCAAAGACAGGAGATTGTTTAGTTTATTTGCTTGTGTCAAAGCACGTGGGCTAGTTGGAGAGATGCCTTTGTACACGACAGGGCAGACGAGAGCTTCACACATAAAATAGAATACTTTGGAAATTTATATCACCAACAGCAACATGGTGAGAAATGTTGATTTGCATTGTAAAATAATTTTTAAAACAAATTTTAGGTAAATGTGTATTGAGTCAGGTGGAATCTAATTCTCAAAAAACTTCTGGATTTATGTCTAGTTTTTCTTCTTTTGATGCAATAATGGAAAGATATATGTCTTCTGATATAAGGATAAAAGCACCTAAAAGACTGGATTTATTCAACTGTACTTCTTATAAGTTTCAGATTCTCGTCAAGTCTCAATGAGGGCAGGATGTTATGAACTGAAGTTAACTGAAGCTAAGGTACACTGATGTCAGCTTCCAGAATGTATGAGAATCAGAATTAGTCTTTTAGTTTAAAATGTGAAAGAACGCTTGGTTGTTGTGTCTGTCCTTGCACGTTTCATGTGCTTCAATAAAATGTTTTCAAGTTTTTCGAAATGGCTTTAATCATCCTGGACTTTCCAAAATACCCTGCATTGTGCAGATATGAATCTGTAAATTAAATCTCGGTTCTTTATTTTCAGTAAATAATGATTGCATTTTTTATTTTCCTTTTCGGAAAAAGGAAAGAAACACAGCTAAACCTAAAACTGGTAAGTAGCCACTCAGATGGTATAGTGGTTAGGAGAGCTGAATGTGATACCAAAAGGACCGGGTTTGCAGGCATGGTTGTAAGTGTCCGTCCCTTCATATAATGCAAAGGTGGCCCACCTATTAGGTGCCTCCATAATAAAGTGTCCACCACTTCTGGTCAAGCCGAAGTTGGCTGACAGCCCGCCACTGGATTATTTAAAAAAAAAAAAAAAAAAAAAAAAAAAAAAAAACTATGAAGGATGTTTTTGATGTTATAAACTGCCGTATGGTAAATGTAGTTGTAGCACAAATTTGGAAACCACTCTTTTCATATTTGGTTCACCTTTTTAAATTCGCCAAAATGAGTTATACGGCAATTTGGTAGTATTAACAAGATTGTGTAAAAATACTTAATGCATATATATCACTTTTTCACATCACTCTAGCATATAATAAAAGCATACAAGAAACATTAAATGCAACATAAAAAAAAAAAAAAAAAAAAAAAAAAAACAGTCAAAAGAACAGAAAAGAAAAGATTGACTAAGATTATATTTCAAATAGCAATCCAATTGCAAAATGAATATGCAGCTGCACTGAATTAATTAAATAGAAAATATAAGTGGTTAATAATCTTTTCACATTTTCAAGAACTGTTAAGTAGTACCTTATATTTAATTAATGGAAAAATGACTCTACTTTCTCACTGCTCATTAGTGGTTGGTAACCCTACATATGTTTCACAAATATATATATATATATATATTAAAAATAATAATATTTCATGCTTTCTAATTTCAACAAACTTAAGAAACTTACGTGGCAAAATGTATTTGATCTTGTTTTGTCACATGAAGTCTTCCTCTGGAACGTAAATAATCTACCAAAGAACCTTTTGACATGTACTCAGTAACAATGTAAATTGAAGGCCAATTAAATACTACACCAAGCAACTGTACGAGATTTCTATGGCTTAGGGAACTGCAAAAATTAAAATTAAGTGTAAAAATCCATGGGAAAAAAAAAAAAAAAAAAAAAAAAGAGGAATGCTTTACTACTTACATAAGAGTACATTTTTTTAAATATCACATTTTTATGTAAATTTATATAAAAGATATTTTTATTTAAATTTATATAAAAGATTTCGATTAAAATTATACTGAAATTATCCATTTGTTTTTTGCTCTAAAATACTGTGTTAGAAATTACATTAAATTGAAAAGTAACTGCTATGAAAGTGGATACTCATTGATACTTACTTAATTATTTATCATTCAACCAGTTTTAAATTAGTAAATTAGTAATTTCAATTAGTAAATACCACTTTGATATATGCTACTACTCTGAGCTTCTTGTCAGGCATTCCAAGTAGGGAGGACAGCATCTAAAGTATGATTATTCATTCAAGTATACCACACATGATGATTTCTACAACCCTCCTACACACATCAAATGATTTCGAGTTGTTTTTGCGTAAAAACATATTTAAAAAAATAATAATTGGACATATTCATTTGAAATTTATACACTATAAAATATTGTTTTAAGGAAAGTATACAAATTCATCTATGGGTGAAAATGGGCATTATATATATATATATATAAGTGTTATTTGACTGATCTTAGCAAAGAATAGCACATGAAAATGAAATAACAAAAAATTGTCTTCCCATCTATATGAAAAATGTATGATTCTGTCCTGGTAATCAATAGGTAGCTTAAAAAAAAGAGAGAGAGATGAAAATGTATGAGAATAACAACATACAGAAATTTAGTTCAAGCTCTTGTTATTACTGACAGAGGATGCAGAAGCTAGAAATTTGCCAGTAAATAGATCTACCTCAAGCATATGAACTTCTACAATTTTGAGTTATTGTTTCCAGTACATCTCTCTTAAAACTGATTTTAAGGCATGCTTTTGAGAATTTAAACAATTTGCAAGCAGATGGGCTGAAAGAACTCAGTAATGTGCTGAAAAATGCTTAGATGGATATGGAACCATGTGGACTGCAAATGCAGCTAAGTCTGGAGGGTGCATCCATAGAGTGAAAAATTTAACTGAGGCAGTTAAAAAATTTTAAGATTGGCCTAGTAAATCTCAGGTCCAGGGAGGTATTTTCATGCTCTCCCAATTACTCATGTATATTCCTAATTATGTGACATGTTGCATTATCATGCTGGAAGATACAATCAATCCCAGGCAAGAAAATCTGAATGTATGGCTGTACATGGTGCAGGGATAGATGTAATGCACGGATAGATTTAATGCAACCCATAATGCTATTTGCAATGATAAACATATCTAAAAAATGGCACAGAAACACTCTCTAGACCACAATGTTGCTTCATTCAATTTGTATTTGCCCACAAATAGCTGAGAGGTGTTTATTCTCAGATGCTTCTTTTTGTATGCATTCAATAAAAACAAAATGTACATCTATTTGATTAAGACAAAAATGTAATTTATCAGAGAAGATAATTTTGGCCAGGAGAGTATTCTGTCTTTTCTGAAAATATATGCTGTAACAGAGTTTTACGAAAATTCAATGAAGAAAAAGTAAATAAATAAATAAATTTAACTACACTTAAATCAAATATTCATTAAACAGTGATAATAAACTTTTAAGCAAAACACTTTTAAGCCTACATTAGATAATAAAGTTTTAAGCATACATGAGACGCGAAGTTTGCAGTTTCTGACCAACAACATATTTACCCTTTCTTTTTCTGCCACAAGGCTGAAGTGCACAAACAATGCAGTCTATGGTGAAATGTTATGATGCCATTGTTCTAAAGTTATCAGGGACAAAGTTTTCTTGAAAAGGGACTATGTCCTCAAAGAAGAAGTGTCTGCACAGTACTTGGAATCTATTAAATTATTCATCACTGAAACAATGAATTTGGTTATTTTTAGACCAAGTACTTACTTATTCTGACACTACCAAACAAGTAAAACGAAACCAAGAAAAAATTTTTAATATATATATAATAATGATTAATTAGCCAATATTCTTAATTATGTATATTCCCCTTAGTATTTCAGTGGAATATACCGTCATACAAAATTCTGAAAGAAATAATAATTCAGCTCACCAAGCGGGCCGGACTATGTCCTAAATAAATAAATAATTCACCCTTAAATTGAATGGATAGCACAAAGCAAATCTCAAAGCATACAAAAAAATAGGAATAAATTGCTTTAAACTATGAGGTAAACAATGAATACTCTCTCCTTATAACTGTAAAGCAATAGCATGCTACAGCATGAAATTCATGTAATTCTTCCCATTACAGGAGTAAAAATGGGGAAGGGTGATGTTGACTTTACCTGCACAAAGTATTTTGTTTATTGAATGCAGATACTCTACAGCAGGAGTGGCCAAGTCGATCGCGATGCTAATTTTGGTCGATTGCTCGCAATGACTGGAGTGGAATTCCGTATACAGTGGACTTTGAAGCGAATATAGAAGACAAACACTTTTAGCAATAGTTTAATGCGTTCTGGGAATTTGCCGAGGTCATAAATTCCTAGAATTCTGACAGCCTGACACTGCAATCTCCACCCATCTAACACAATACATTTTGACTTATGTTTTACACTTGTCACCGGACCAACTGTTAGGGCTCATAAAAGAACACAGTCAGTTAGCTTGAATATTTGGTAGTGTCATACGGTAGCTGCGTTTCTTTGTGTTAACACCATTATTATTAATCAACATTATTTATTCTCATTATTATTATTATAATTATTTATTCTCAGTGCCCACTTTGTGTTTCAATTTTTCTTTTGCTTAAAATGTAAGTACCTTTTCTTTGTTTTAAATCAAATTGCTTTTCTTACATATCTATTTACTTGATACGTGAGCATTCTTGGCAATAGATCTCTAAGCTGCGGTTATTACACTGAGAAAAAAATAAGGACAGTATTACAAATACATTAGGAATAACAATAATTCTATTTAAATTAAGATTTCAGTATTTAAACCGTAATAAATATATTGTAACTTTCATATACTTCTTGTAACTGAAAATATCTTTATTAGATTTTAATACACTTGTATTGCTGCATCCGATTGTAGCATGCAATATATTATCATTTCTCTCAGTGTTACGGAGATAATAGCCGCAGTTCACGAGTTCTGAATTTTCTAGAAAAATATTTAATTCAATATTTATTCTTTAAATTGTCATATTTCTTTGCATTCTAGTGTACCCATGAACATGAGTAGTATAACCGAAGAAGTCAAAAACTTATCACTTCAATGAAGAATGGGAACTCGATTACTTTTCACAAAACTCAATTCACAAATCAACACAGCATTTTTAAGAAGCTAAGGTTAAAGTCACAAGCAATAGCTGCCGCATTATTCAAAGTAAGCTACCTCTTAGCAAAAAAATTTAAGCCATTTTCCGATGCTGAATTTGCAAAGGAAATTTCTTTAGAAATGCCAGATTCAGTTTTTAACGATTTTAAGAACAAGAGTGAAATCATTCCTGCATTTCAAGATTTACAATTGTCTCGAAACACAGTGATGAGATGAATTGAAAGGATGAGTGGGAATGTAAAAGAGCAGTTATATAATTATATTAATAGATGTTCTTGCTTTCCCCTTCAGTGTGATGAATTGACAGATATAAGGGATACAGCACAATTACTTGTTTTCGTTCGCATGGCTTTTAAGCATTGTATATCTAAAGAAGAATTGTTGGGTTTGATTTCTTTGAAGGAAAGGACTAAAGGTGTAGACATATTCAAAGCCTTTAAAAACTTGCTCAATGATTTAAAAATACCGCTATTTAAATTAGTCTCAATAACAACTGATGGAGCAGCTGCAATGATAGTTAGCATAAATGGATTTATAGCCCTAATGTCAAAAGGAAGATGAATTCCCTGCCTTTTTAAGCTATCACTGCATAATTCACCAGCAAGTGTTAGCTAGCAGGAGACTAAACACAAAAGAGGTAATGGACATAGCATTTAAAATTGCTAATTTAATTTGAGGAAGCCCCTTCAAACGGCTTTCTTCCAAATGCAGCTCGATGAAGGCCAACCTGAATTTTTGCAGCAATTTCATGATTAGTTGCCTGAAATTATAGATTTTCTTCACGAACAAGGTGGAAACTGTGAAAATTTAAATGAAGAAACTTGTTTTAGTGACTTAGCATTTCTTATTGATTTTACTTCAATATTAAGTCATTTAAATTTAGAATTACAAGGTTAAAATAAAACAGTAATTGATATGATCAGCTGCATAGACGAATATAAAACTAAATTTATTTTTCTAATAGAAGATCTGCAACAAAATAATCTGAATCATTTTACAAATATAGCGGATAACCTACAAAAACATAAAAATATGAATTATACGATCGACAAATATGTCGTGGAAATCTAAAAAGTACTTGAAAATTTTGAGATAAGATTCGAGGATTTTGAAAAAATTAAAGAAATTGTGGAATTCATATCTTTTCTTTTAAAAAAAGATTTAAGTGTGAAACGCATTAACCAAAAAATTTCAGACACATTTCATGTGGATCAAAAGGCATTAGAAAATGCAATTATAATTTTACAAATTGACTTAATCTTACAAACCCGAAAATATGAAGAGAATTTTTGGAAATATGTCAACCGGAAAAAATATCAAATGTTGCGCATCACCAAATGTTGCGAATATATCGATATATTCGCAACATTTGGTGACGCTGTCGGACGTCTGATGTCTTGTTTCGGATCTACACACCTAAGCAAATCGGCATTTTCATACTTGAAATTAACAAAGACTAAACAACGTTCTGTTCTGACTGATTCCCATATTGAATACTCATTATCTTTGTCAGGATATACACCTAATTATGATTCCTTGGTTAGGGACATGCAAATCAATCTTCCTATTGATGTTAAGGCAATAAAGTAAATTCTAAATCTGTCTTTATCTGAAGCTACTTTGAACTCATAAATAATGTTAATAATTATCCATGTTCTTTTTTTCCCTTGATATGAGTTTTTGAGATCTTTTGTTGTTGTTTTTTTATGTAGGTAGATAAACCTTTCAGTATGATATTTCAGTATCAGGTATGCTCAGCGAGCTATTGATAAATTAGCAAAAAATAAGCCACGTTATTCTTTCATGATAAATTCTCCTGGCCCAAAAAATATGAAAGTGAAATATTGAAATCAAATTATCAACTATACAGTACATTTGTATAACAACATTTTCATAATTAACGAATAAATAATACAACAACCTATACATGGCAGTAGATAAAAAAATTAAATTGCATTTTAAGTTAGTAAAAATCTATCTTGAAAAAGTGTAGGAAAATTTAATTTTTTAGGCACTGCATGTATGAAATGCTGCTATTAAAAGTTGGGTCTGGAAATTTATTTTCTTCATGAGCCTATATCTCTAAAACTTAATAAGTCATTTAAAAAATAAAAAATAGTTTTTGAACATATAGCTGGAATGCATCTTATACTAAAATACCATATACAAACATTTTATGCATTTTACGCCCTCCTCCCCTCTTAGACTACACCTATAATAACAAGTCGATTGCGACACACTTTTAAGGTAAAAAGTAGATCTTATATACAAAAAAGTTGACCACCCCTGCTCTACAGCATGTGCAGTCCTTTTACAGTGAAATATGGGTAGAAAGACTTAGGAAGAATTTGTCCAGTTTTGAATACCTGACTCTAAAATCAATGAGTCTATGGATACCTACAGATTAAAAGTAAATATAAATAAAGATTTTACTACATGACAGATTTACACAATACAGTACAAAAAGATTTTACTACATGACAGATTTACAGAATGCAGTACAAAATCCGTAATCCGGACTCGTCGAGACTTCGGCGATTCTGGATTATAGATCATCAATTTAAATCTGATAAGATGGCATGCAGAAATTATACATTTAAAAATATGAAACCATAATTTATGAAATAAAGAGCAATTATGATCTAAAGGGTATCACAAAAAAAAAGGCTTAATATTTATTTGTTTACTTTATTAAACATTTCTTTCTATGTAAGTTGTTTAAGTTGCTTCACTTTTTTGTGCTAAACATGCATGCGTAAACATTAAACACGCATGCATAGCATTAAACGCACATGCGTAAAGCATACCCCCAGAAAACGTTTGTGGCTTTGAGGTCCGGATTATAGATCATTCCGGATAATGGACGTCCGTGATATTTCCAGTTAATGGAATTTGCAAAGAAATGTGGAGAAATTTAGTAATTGAAAATGCTATAACAGAACTTTTTCATGGTGATGACGATGCACCAATCATCAATTAACTAATGGATGGCAAAATCTGTAGTTATGGTTCTAAATCCAGAAAATATCTTAGTGAAGAAAATGACAAGAAAGTTATTGATAATGAAAATCTCATAGTGAAGAAAATGGCTAATCTTTGGAATATGGTAACAGGTAGTTTGGCGACATTTTGGTAAGGCGATAAAGGTTACTAGGTAGGACTTAGCAATAATCTGAGAAGTACACAGTTCGAATCACAGATTATTTTGTCTCAGAGAATTGAGAGATCATGAGACGTGACATTTTCCGGAAAATTCCGATCCTAATTCTAGCTAATAAGCACTTAGAAACAATTTCGCTGCTAAAGTGCAGAATCGCCCACTTATTTGTTGGCGCTTTTTACAAGAGTAAGAGAATTGGATTTTTGTCAATTTTCTTTGACTTTTTAAGTGAAAACAGGTCGATGTGTACATAGATAAAGTCAAGAGTGTGCGCAATGCTATTTTTGTGCAATTTGGGGATGTTTTTTTAAGTGAAAATAGGTCGACGTGTACATGGATACCGTGTATGCGCAATTCTTAAAAACACGGCAAGCAGTTTGCGATTCTGCACTTTCTCCCAATTTCGCACCTAATCTTCATCATGATTAAGCACTTTTGTTCCATAAAAGTTCTAGCATAAGTGTAATTCAGCTAGCAGATTGTTGGAAAAAAAGTTGCGTAAAAGGGGGGGAAGGAAAAAAATGCCTTTACTTCATGAAAACAAAATGGCATCCCCCCAAAAAAAACTAACAGTTTGCTGTAGCAGGGTTGGTCGCCAAAAAATTGCCAAGTTACCATAACCCGAAGAGTTACCAAGAAAATGACAAGAAAGTTATTGATAATGAAAAAATTTCTATTGACAATTAATTGGTGTCAACAATTAGTTGTCAATGTATTGACAACAATTGCTGATAAGGCAATTACAGGACTTGGACAATGTAAAATTGTAACTGAGCAAGAAATTACATCTATCTATAGAATCAAAGAGAAAGTATTAGCACAAAAAAGTATGCAACTTAAACAACTTACATCGAAAGAAATGTTTAATAAAGCAAATAAAACATACAGAGCTTTTTTTATATAAATTTTGATTCCCTAGAGATCATAAATGCTTCATTATTCCATAAACTATTATTTAATGTTTATAATTTTATAATTTCTACACATCAAATTACTATAATTAAAGATAATGTATTTACATAAAAAACAAAGTTATTTACATTGAAAGAAATGTTTATTAAAGCAAACAAATATTGCGTTTTTTTTTTTTTAAATAGAAATTTTGATTCCTGTAGATCTTAAATGCTTTATCATTTCATGTTTTTAATTTTATATTTCTACATGTCATCTTACTAGATTTAAACTAATGATCTAATAATCTGGAAAAATAACAAATCCAGAATCAGTGAAATCGCGATTAGTCCAGATCTTGCACTTAGTACTTATATGTATATATTTGCAGATGCACACACATACATGATTAATTCCAAATAAGCGGAAAAATGTAGAAACTGTTACAGAAATGCTGATATGCCAAGCAACAAATATTTAAATTCTTAATTCTGAAATACTCCCATTTTATAAATATTAATAAGGCACTTTTATTATATAAAAACTCATTACATAACATATAAGAATTTAATAAATATATTTACACACACACACACAGGATTTGGAAAATGAAACAGAAACACTTGGTGATTATAGTACTTTACATTTCAAATTTTATCATCAACTGTATAGCAAGACACTTGAATTTTTAACATTAGAAGTATTAATTTTAAACACTGAGAACATAACAGGACATAAATGGAGATTAAAAGAGTTTAAAAAAAAAAAAAATCTGTTCATCTGACTGCATCTTATTATTAAGATAGATCTTTTTTATTATCAAGGGCCACAATACTTAAGACACATAGACTTGTCTATATGCCAAGAAAAGTGAAGAATTCCATTCAGTTACAATTGACAAATTAAGAGAAAGTCACAAGAAAAAGGATATTATAGTGTTAGAGAGGAATTTGGACTAAAAACACAATTACTTAAAGCAGAATTTAACATTATCCCAAATTCACCCATTTCTGCAAAAACTGCTTATCAGATTTCATGGGATTGATATTTATGGTTGGATAATTGGTGCCTATGTTAAATTTTGGTTTGGGTATTTAGTATGGATAATTTACAGCCACTAACTCTAATTTCAGCAATTATTCTGACTGCTGAAAGATTTTAAGGGGCACAAAATTTGGACATTATATGATGTAAAATGTGCATGGTTCACAAAAGAATTGAACATCTCTATTTTTCTCACTTCTGAAAGAATTTATGTATGGACAACTTCTTAAGAGGTGCGTAATAAAAACTGTCCACCTAAAAATTTTGGTGGACAGGTCGAAGCCCAGACTGAAACATGGAACTGCATCGGTGATAAATTAGGCAGCAATATTATGGAATTGCTTTGGAATATTGACCGTCTCAAGGTCCCACCATTTTCAAAAATCATAAATAGGCCTGTCCATCTAAATATTCAAATGCTGTATCCCAAAGGAAGTGCTGGGTATCAGAATGATAATTTATTAGTTCAAAACCATGAAATTGATCATGAAGTGATTTGAAGAATGTAAAAATTAATTTGAATATTTTCCACTCTTACACAATCTCTTGAACTCAAGCCATTCAACCTATATGGGATAAACTATAAATAAGAATTGGAAAACAATTTCCTCCTTCATTATCATGAAATGAAGTAGCTAAAATTTTGCTCGAGAAATATCTAAGAATACCACTAATAATAAAATAAGATTTGTATTGGTAGTTATAAGAAGAATCACTGCACTGATGGCCTTCTTACTAATAAAGCACTGCACACTAGTTCCAAGTGTTTCAATTTCGTGGACCCCTGCATATACAAATATCATGGAAGTATCGTCATATTGCCTGCTCAATACTGATTCATCCCAAATTGAAAATATGTCATAATAGCTGGCCTAGGAACAAATGTTTAAAAGAAGTTTAAACTAGTTTTTTCCTTTAATCTAGAATCAGTTCATTAGTTAATTGCATTAATCATGTATAAAGCAGAACACAGAACTTATTTTAAGAAAACATGAGCCTATGAATGAAGTATTTACAAAAGTTAATATTTTCTGAAGTTTCTAAAAGAATTGAAAATAATACTTAAGCATAAAAATAAGAGAATTAAAATGTATATTACATGTACAACCATCTTTCATACACAAAGAAGTGACTAAAGTATAAACATACGTCATAACAGAAGCTTCTGCCAAGAATGTTTGAGCAGCTTTGCTGTTATCTTTTAAAACTTTGACAGCAACTTTTTGACCTCGAAAACAACCCAATACAACATCTATAATACAATACATAAAAAGAAAATTAAAAATATGAAACACTCATAAAAGCAAAATACAAACTTATAAAAATTATTACTGTTATTTTTTTAAAATAGTAAATCTCACTTGTGCATTATACAAAATTCCCTCCTTAATCATCATTTTTTGAAATTACAGTCATTAAATTTTTTTCTTTGGATTAAAAACTTTAAAGTACGATTCATTCATACGTATATAATATTTATTAACATATTAATTTAATCAAAGCTAAAAGTTTTCACTTTTTAATTAAGAAACAGCATTATAAAAGAGCAATAAGAGACATTAAAATTACCTCCAAATTCTCCTTTACCAAGGACTTCACCAAGTTTTAAATCATCTAACTTTATTGTCCAGCCAGCTTTCTCAAATTCCTGAGAATCTACTGAAAATTCAGGACCACCTTTTTTTGGAACAGACAACTTTAATCTTGTACAAAGACCATCAGCATCATTTTGATAATGCTATCAAATATGAAATAGCAAAATTCCGACATCAATTTACACTTAACGACTTTTTTATATTTGGTTATTAGCAACTGAATAAAAAAATCAATAAAAATCAATTTATTATACAATTATTTAACACTAAGCAAAATTACAAACTAACTTATAATAGAATTATTTAATGATACAGAATATTTTTGTTTTCTCAAATGAATTTTTATACTGCTCAAATATTTTGCTTGTAATTAAAGTTAATACTTGCAGTTGAAAATAATTTAATTTGGTATTATTACTTTCATAGAATATTCAGAGTTATTTTTAAAAACTAACATTACATTTTCTTTCGCAGAATAAGGTTACAATCTAATATTTATTCATATACACAATTTAAGTTCTCATATAGTTCACATCTATTATTTTTTTAAATATAGAAGCTGCAATTCAAAAATGCTTTTAAACTACTACTTCCAGTATGACAATGTTTCTTAATCTGTGGCCTTTCTAGATTAAAAAATAAATAAAATTCAAATTAACCATGTATAGCTGAAAGTGTTTTGAAATTATACATGGTAACATTCATCACTTTTTTTTCCTCTCAAGATGGACATTTTTATGGCATTTATTACTAGTTATCCATCTTACTCTAGTCTTAACAGCAAGAGAGATTTAAAGAGAGTATGATTGTTGTGCTTCTTACAACAAACATCCAAATACAGAAAAGCTATGCAAGAATTGGCAGGCTCATCTATCTTATTAATGTGAGTATCAATATTTATCTAATTTTTAGTTAATAAGGTAAATATTACCCAAATTCTAAAAGCCTTGAATTATAAATTTTCTCCAACTTAATGCCAATATAAAACTAAATGAATTTTAATTAATTATATTTTTAAAATGTAAGTACACTGGTAGTAACACATGTTAAAAATTTGCTTTTGAAGCAAAAAAACATAAGGCAATCTGAAGAATTTTAATTTATAAAAGTGGTTTTTACATGAAAAATATTTTACAAAGGCTGCAGTATGATATTTACAAGATTCAGTTTTATGTGTTCCTTGTGTCCTTTAACAGAGAAGGGAAGGGAACTTTTATTTTGTCCTCTCAGTTTTTAACATGAAACAATCCAGCAACCTCAGATTAAAAATTCAGGACCACCTTTTTTTGGAACAGACAACTTTTAAAGATGCAATATATGCATTTCGTTTTAAGTTTTAACTGCTATTTGAACTGCATCTTGTAATTTTTTTCAAACTGCAGTGTTTTCAAGTGAATTTTTTGGTTATCTGATACTCACTGATACAGTGAACAGTTTATAATGTCTCGTGGTGATGAAATCAGTTTCTTTTTTTTTTTTCTTTTTCTTTTTCTTTATTATTATTATTATTATTTCTAATGGGTATAGTTTGGGAATCACATTCAAAATAGCATCTTTGAAAACAGATTATTCTCTGCATCTTGTCTCTGCCACTAAGTAAAATGACAAGTGATGAAGAGCTGTACTACACAGCCACTTAACACTCCCTAATGCCACTACATATCATTCTATCATTTATTTATGGATTATTCGAATAACAATAATAATAAAAATTATCCCTTCATCCTTCATTTCATTGGGGGGGAGGGGAGGGGAGAAAGGAATGGACAGCAAATGTAAAGGAAAAGAAATAAAAAAATCTCATATTCATAAAAGAATTCAGAGTATCTTCTAGGATTGACAAACATTCTCAAGAGTTCAAGTCACTGGCTATATATTTGGTAGAGCATCTGCAGATACTGGATAATTGAAAACCACTTTTTCAAATATTCAGCTGTTGTAAATGAAATGGGTCATCAAATGATGTCAGGTTTCTACTGGTTATAGAAGAAAGCCAGTGCTGAAGTTTAGGTAAATTTTTTATGTCATGTGACAATGTGCCCCATGAAAAACAAAATGGTATTTATTTTGTTTAATGAACTGAATATTACTGACATAAGAGTTAATAATGATTTGATGATTAGTCATGATTATGATCATGATATGGCAGTGATTTAACATCAATTAATGCTCACCTGCATTCCATTATTGCTTCTTTCAATATTACATCAATGTTTGCTAATGTTCCAGTTGAAGAAGGACTAATATGTCTTGAAACTAAGTTTTGAGAATTCCATTTCCTTTATACTGAAACTGAAGGGTTACTTTCTCTTTCTAAAGTCTCTTTAAGTCAAACCCACTTTGTTTTGCAAAATGAATATTATTGCCAAGTTATTGCTATGGGCAATCTTCTCAGTCCCTGTACTAGTTGAGATTTACAGGTACTATTCTGAGGTTAAATTATCTGAGAATCTTTTCACTTCTGGATTCACTATATAAACAACACTTTCATGCTTTTGATGGTAATAAAGATGTACTAGTTGAGATTTACAGGTACTATTCTGAGGTTAAATTATCTGAGAATCTTTTCACTTCTGGATTCACTATATAAACAACACTTTCATGCTTTTGATGGTAATAAAGATCAGACGTTATCTATTATAAATTCAACTGACCCAGCCAATCAGCTCACTTTTGAAACTGAATCTAACAATACCCTTCCCTCCTTGATATTCTTATCATTTGCAATGAATCTCATTTTAGCATTATTGTTTGCCATAAAACCTTTTCTGTTTGTTTACTGCCCCATGCTACATAATGGCACTTGGCACTAAATCACTTGAATTATTTAAAATTAATGTTGGCCTGAAAACTTAATCTTTAGCAGTCAATACGTGTGAATTAAAATTGTAGCCAACAGAAATTTCTTGCAGTTAATAAGTTTTAGATTTAACACAGGAGAGAAACATAAATTTGAATTTTTTTAGTTAATTATCATTAGTGTTTATGCATGCTTTGATAAAAACAAATGAAATTTAAAATTTAGTTAAAAAATTTATTTTTGCTAAAATAACATTTTTAACTTGGAGGAGGGGGAGAGGGCAAAGGATAGGTCTACCAGTTGCTTTTAGATTGTGCTTTCATACTGCATGTGTTTAACACCAATAGTAGAAATGACCTTGTCACATGTTGAAAACTTCCATTGATGCCTCTGAAGATTACTTTGATTAAACAGATATTCTTTTTATTTTCTTCTTTTTCAAGCACCCATAAAATTTAATACACAAAATGCAATTTTATTCTGAATAACTCAATAGTTTACTGTTTTCTCTGTGACAGTGCACTTTGGTAATACAAGTGTTTCAATAATCATTAGGTCAATGCTTCATTTTGAATTTCAAGCTAAATACAAGACTAAATATTAAAAGTAATCAGCAGACTTTTAAAGGCATTCTTTTATTAGGTAATAAAATAGTTTTCTAATATTATAAGCCTGAAAGTTACTACATTTTCATGAAATTCATGTACATTATTGCATGAATATTATATACTTAGAACAATGTTTGTACAGTAGCCTTCTGAAGCCTGGCTAATTATTAGAAGTAAAACAAATATTCGCATAATTTATTGTGCCACTGCAAATAATCTGTGAATTTAAATATCTAATGATTAATTATGGTAAATAAACACTGATTACGTATAGTAAAACTGAAATAGTTAAAAGAAGTGTTAGAGTTTTATCATATATCATAAGAAATATCAGGATGAATTTATAAACAGAAGTAAAATGCAACAGACAGAAAAAAGCAATGGTTAAATATTATAAAAATTTGCTTTGTGTAAATCATGCGAAAATCAAAATTTCTAAAGTAAATGGCATATGCAACCTTGAAATATGAAATGGTACTTTTTATGCTATGCTTTTAAAAGAACTTCAAATTGATTAAATTCACTTTATAACACACGATTCAAAATATTCAACTATTTATAATAAGCTTTTCACATACATTATGTTAAAATTTAATTAGATAATTTGACATTTTACATTCCTTGGCAAATTTCATTTTGTAATTTTCACATACTCAGTCTAAATTGAGAAAATCATGGGTAGAAAAGGAAAGCTTCAGTTTATCAAAGTAGTTTAAAACATGACAAATATAAGATTAATACTTTTCTGTGGATAAATTTAGTAATTTACCATATATTGGTGTAAGACAAACATAAATACAAATTGTTACTGATTAAACATTATTGTTATCTCTATATAAAGTTCTAGAGATGCCTACAGAAGATTAAGACAATTCAGACCAAGTAAAAGCCAATAAGGAAAATTATGCTGAAAATCATTAGGAGGTTAGGTGAATGACATTCACATACTTTAAATTTCATTAATTCAATAAATTTCACTTATTGCTGAAAAACACTTTAAAAAAGTTTAAAATTTTAAAAAAGGACAAAGATTTGATAATCTGTCCAGAAATATGACAAAACCCGGAACAGATGGCAGAAATGTACATGCATAAAAATACTTTATATATGCAATACATATATTTATGAAAGAGAAAATATTGATTTTAAGATTACCTCAACTAATCTTGATAAGTTTTCAAAGTATTCTTCTTCATCAATGGTTAGTTTGTTTTCTTTGTAAATGACTCGATAATGTTCAACTTTGTTCTTAAAACACACACATAATGTGTAGTCACCAGGGAAATTAGTACTTTCCCTTACTAAAAACAGACCATCTTCTCTAGGTTGTAATAATGCTTCTGCTTCATCTCGAGTAATTTTCCCATGAAACCACCTTCATGATTATATGTGGGGGAGAAAAAAATTTAAATCACAAAATCCTCATATGAACATCAGTACATATTATTAAAATAATAAAGGGTACTTTTCCGTCTTGCTGGTGCAAACAATAAGGTCGCCAATAATGGTACAACTGATGCCAAAGGAATATCTTCACTGGTAACCTTTTACGCCTCATTTTCAAAACAAGTTGCAGTCATTCGTGCCAGATTAATTGTTTCTTTCAATACTGGCATACAATTACATAGAATATTTACAAAGATAATTAAATTTTATGCCCTAAGACCATTCGTGGTAATTAAGTCAATTAGGATGCAATCACACCGCTCACCCGACGGCGAAAATATAGAAAAGGCAAAATCAAGGATTAAATTCATCAATTCTAATGAGAGTGCACTACGGTTTTACATATTTTCTGAGTAAGCTATTCGTATGAATTGAAATAATTCTTGCATTTAAACTTGTATTCCAAATTAAGATTTCACTTGAAATTAATGTAAATAATTACTGAGAGAATTATATTTTTGTAGCGTAGTTTACATGAGATGAGATCACTTGGGGTCACGCGATACGGATCGGCGAATCAAGATGTTGAACCATGATAACATAGTAAATTCTTAAATTAATGTCTTTTTACAAATTTATTGGCTTTTTACAAAATTATAAACCATATTAAAATGTTTATGCCTTCAAAATAAAATATTCTTAGAACTAACATTTGTTAACATTTTTTATGTATATACTTTATGTTGTCACCAACAAAGTGTGCTTGGCGAGATTTGAAAAGCACCTAATAAAGAAATATTAAAACAATTTAAATTTATATTTAAGAAATTACAGTAAAATCTGTTAAGACAATTATTACAGGTAATATGTACACACATCACAGATAATATGTACATTATTAGTCTTTATGAAGGTAGACAAAAATAGTTCTGTGATAATACCAGAAATATAAAATTTAGGTCATAATTTCATAAATGTTTGATGATCTTAGATAGGCAGTGAACTGGTCATATCAAGAAACAACATAAATATTACTATTCAATGAATGTCCTTCAGGTAGTCATTTCTACACTTTTACAGGCAGCTCTTGGGTGATTTAATGCATTCTGTGAAACAGGCAATCATTCACTTATTTATGTTATACAATGACTTTCAGAGATCACCACTAGAGATTTTATCATATATCTACACAATAATTTAGAAAACTTCACAGCAGTTGAAAACTGATTGGAATACATCAAAGGTCTTTAAAAAAATAAATAAAAATGTGCAACATTATACATTAGCCCATTAACAACACTTCCAATGACAGAATATTTTTTATGAACTGGTCAGAGAACCGCATACTTCATATATACTAGCCAACATATGACATTAAAAAATTAGAAGATTTTTTAAAGAAATCAGATTTTTCTCAATGACAAGAAAGATTTTTAAATGATAAAAACATATTTTTTAATAATGAATTACTTGAAACAGTTACTAATTAATATCTGAAAGTTAAGTTACTAATTCTTAAATGCAAACAGTAAAAAAAATAATTAAATGTAAAAAAAAAAAAAAAAAGTTTATTATTTGCATCTTTTAACCCCTTAACTGCCGCGGGTGTATATATACAGCTTGCTAAGCCGATGCGTTAACTGTCCCGGGCATATATATATGCCCTTCCAAACTACTATCATTTGCTTTGCGCAGCTACCCGTAAAATTATTCGCAAAGTTTTGGAATGCAACACCACAATGACCTTGACAAAGTAGGCGAAGGAGAATACTATTTCAGAGAAGTGTGAGGAGAAATTAGAGAGAGGGGTGTGTCTAAAGTGGTGAATGTAATGACTGCGCCATATTAGCTGGTGTTGTTTGAGTAAAATGTATTTTTTTTTTATTCTGTGTCCTCCGTTTTCGTTTACTTTTTGTAGTACGTTCCAGAAATAAAGATATAACGGATGTTCTAAACACATTTATCTTTTTTGAATTATTTCTTGATGAACTGCTCATGCTTCATATTATTACTGAAACTAACCATTTTGTAAACGAGTATACGAACCAACACCTTGCAAACGAAAAATTAAGAACAAAATCGTGGCATTCAACCAGTTCAGAAGAAATATATGTTTTTTAGGCATACTGACTGCACAAGGTATAACACTGAAACCTGATATTGGATTTTACTGGTCTAAAAATGAATTGATCGAAACTCCATTTTAGGGATCTTTATTATATTTACATCTTTTTTATTATACTTTTACTCAAAACATTAAATTTTGTGCATTCATTTTTTTCTTTTATTCTTTATTTTGTAAAAGTAAACAGTTTTTAGAAAGTAAAACTTGCACTTACTTCCCCCCTAATACATCGCATAACTATGCACGCCTGTGTGAAAAATCGTGGCACTGGGAAATGAATCTTGTATCTTTTCCACAGCAGTTAAGGGGTTAAAAAAAATAATACTTTAATCAGTTTTCTTACAAATGCTATGAACAGAGGCAGATTTAGCTTTCATTAAGAAGGTAATTTCATGATTTTGTTCTTAGCATTTTCCACATAGGCCTGCTTTTGCTAAGAGTTTTTTCCTACTGTCTCATTACTAATATTAGGTTTAAATTTAGTCCTTGTTTTTGCAACAGCACTGAAAATCCTCTTGCACTCTGCTTTACTATGGGGAATTGTCAGGATGGCCAACATTCTAGACAATTCACTATACTTTAAAATTCTATCAGCACCTTTCAATTTTTTAATTAAACTCCAGTGGGTGTCAACAGCAGCTGGTTTTATAACTTTATCCAAGTTTTCTAATTGTAAGCTGTAAAATTGCAAGTACCATTTATCAGTTGCAACATAAATATGATCATCTTTCATGATTAAATGAAGTAAAACTGGAAATTTAGTCAAAAAATGTTTTATCAGAAAAAGATGCATTTGCTAGAGAAGAAATATTTGCAACTTTAGCATGTAAAATCACTTCATCATTGACTGGAAATTTATGTAGTATGTGTAGAAATTTATGTAGTATGTTATCACATACTACATAAATTTCCAGTCAATGATGAATTTTGGTAGAACTAGCTTCTAATGTGGAAATAAATCTTATTTTTGCCTTTCCATGAAACTTCTTCCACTACTTTGTTAGTTGCAGCCCCTAGTACCAAATTTTCATCTTTCTTCTGATTTTCTGTTTCTCCATAAATCACATCATATGTAGAATTAGAAGACAAAACAAAGATTGGTTTTACAAATTTTGATAAAATGTCTTTAAAAACAGACCATAAATTACTGACTGCAAAACATGAATTAATGAAATGTTTTCTGCTTTGTAGAACTGTGTTAAGAACATCGAATGATGGCAAAATGAATTGTACAAAAAAAGCAAAAAGCTTTGTTAAGTCCGAAGACAAAAAACATAAACATTCATTCCTCACAAGATAAACTTACAGTAATCAGAAAATGCTTCCCTTGTTGAGCAATTTTTTAATTTTGAGAGAAATTTGTATCAACTAAGTTTATATTTTGTATGATTACTTTGAGAAATGCCAATTAAGTTGCTCACTGCTGAAGGAATTATTTTTCTTAAACCCATATTTTACAGTGGAAGTAGTAACTACATCTACATTTACTTTAGGTATATTATAACTTTCAGTAGAGCATTTTATTTTAACTCTAGAAGCACTTACCTCTTCAAAAAATGCAAGAAGTGGTTTCCATTCATTCTAGATAAACATTTCTTTAAAGATAGCCAGTATGCACATATATGTTTAAAATTTTTTATTTCAGTATTATGCAGCTGTTGGAATTGTTTCGATTTTTACTTCTGTTTAGAATTTCTTTTAATAAATATCAACAATGTGTTCATCTACACTTATTGCCCCATTTTCAACTGCTGACTTTAACCACTTCCCAGTTTTGCCCGAACGCCGTTCGGGTACTTGTAAATGGCACCTTTTTGATTTTCCCGAGCGGCGCTCGGGCAAAACTTTTTTCTAGTCTAATACACTGATTTGCCCGAATTTTTTGCTTATTTAGTGTGTAATGTTTCTAACAGATGGCGCTAGTAGTCCAGTAAAGTTAGAATTGCAAAACAACTGGTTTCAAGGTTAGGTTTTACTGAATTCTTTTACGCAAATAAAGGCGCGAAATTTCTTTTCACTAGCTCCGGTGTTCCGGCTACTGCGAATACTATTTGTTTTAAATTTGGAGCTAAAATAAAAGAAGAAATGAATGATAATGAGAAGCTTATAACTGAAGATATAACTCTGATATTGACTCAGATAGTGAATCTGAAATTTCACTAAATGATTCTGGAAGTAATGACAGTTTGTTGTCTGACTTCTCTAGTGATGAAGAAACGGAAAAAATAGATAACCTAACGCAAATTTGGAACTTTTATGAACTTGATATTAATAATCCTTCTTTCTTGATATTAATAATTCTTCTTTGGAATCGAACAGATATGTAATAACAATAAAACATTTTAAATTCTGACATCTATTTTTGTAAAGTGTGTTTTCCAGTTCGCTTACTTGTTCGAAAAAAGCCAACTTTAAGGAAATATGTGCTTTTTACAATGAAAATAAAAATTAGCATAAATCAATAAATTCAATACTTGTAATAGTTCTGACTCTTGATTTGGGTTTATATAATGACTTTCTTCATAAAAATGTTTATCAAAAATATGCTTATTTTTTGTCATAATATGACGGAAAAAAGAATCTGTTAAGTGGTTAAGAGGTGATGGGCGCACATCATTTGCAGACCTGAATTTTTCATTTTTAAGATGCTTGCAACACCAGTTTTCAAGCCTACCATTACTGGTCCATTTTTAGCACCAAGTGCTAAGCGGAGGAATTGCAATTTCTTTCAAAATTTTAATAATTTATTGTGCTATATTAAATGTTGCTTTAAAGTGGGAACAGAAAGTAAACTACATTCAATTTCTAAAGAAAAGAAACAACAGTTGGATACAGTTTTGAATTAGTATTATTGCTTCCATCTGCAGAAATGCAGAATGGAGTTATTTTAATGTAATCAATAACTGAAGATTTGTTTGTCATACCCATTTATTAATCTTTTGCAGCCATTTTGGTCCTTATACTTGAGTACTTCTTAGTGATTTCGTTATCAGGAAATATTTTTAAAAGATTGCAGCATGATCCGATGCATTCATTGGCAGGTTGTGCTGCAGGAAAAGGGCAAAGAAAAGGCACTCTACATTAATCACCTTTTGGTCCTTTGTTTCCACAGAAAAATTTAACTTTTCATTTTTTTTTTTTTTTTTTTTTTTCAATAGAACTCATGTTGTCCTTGTGTTTTTGTGTAAGTACATGTTTGAGAACATCGACCATTCCACCGTGCAAAATAAAAAAATCGCAATGACAAACAGTACACATCGCAAATGTATTACATTTCCTTGAGGAAATAATAGAATGAAAGTCATCTATGTATGATTTTGAAAATACATAAGTATTTTACCTTTTTCACAGACATAACTAAAAAAAGATCATAATTTCTTAAACTATTTCTCGAAAGCACGTGCACTCACACCACTCAGTTTAACAAGATGAATAAAATAACAGCCTCAATCTTGCTTAGTGTTCATTGGCTAATATATGCCAGTTGACATGCAGTGGCACTCGATGGTCATTGGAGAACTGGAAGACAAAGTTTTCGGACACGTACTCCCACTCACAAAGTAGAACTGAGCCATAAATTCTCACTGATGAAACTACTTTTCTATGAAATCTAGAGAAAAACCACATGCTTTCAGATGGCCAAAATCACTTTTTCTTAGTGCAAATAATGAAGTTAAGCCAAGCTACATAAAAAATGTGAGAAATTTTAAGAATAAGAGAAAGTTGGGAGAAATATGTTGTAAATCGGATTGGTGGCAGACTGATTGGAAATGAGCAGAGTTTGTAACTCAGTTCATATATTTAAAATGTGTTTACTTTCATAGAACAACAGTGCAATATGAATTATAAGTATTTCATACAGCCAATTTGAAATATTTCTATTCCAGTTTTACTTACGGCATGGCATTCAGTTTAACTTCTGATCGCTTTTGAATGTAATTGGCTGGTATTAATCCTTCTCGGTTGTCCACATGTCGTGCTCTGTACCAATTTGGATCCTTAAATAAATATTCTTAATGTAAAATGAAATAAAACTATTTATTCCTTGATACATAAAAAGAATTATTTCCAATCACAAATTTATTAATAATTCATATTATTTAAATTATAATTATTTGAAATACTGCTTTCCAGTTCATAAAGTATAATAATAACACATATTTTTTAACAGAATAAAGCATATCTAAATTTGCACATAATGATCTTTACTATCAATAATGATAAAGAATGAAGTCCTACTTATGAAATTTCGGATAGTTTTCCCCTAAGCGTTTGCCCCATGTAAATGAAAAGCTAAACACATATCAAGACCCAATGATAGGCCACCTGGAAACTATCTTTTTATATCTAACATACATCATAAGTTCTTCCTCAGTAGATTTATCAAACAGAGTTTTATTTTCATATCTAACATACATCATAAGTTCTTCCTCAGTAGATTTATCAAACAGAGTTTTATTAACTGAAAGTTTTATTTTTTACTACAGATGTATATAAAACTTATTAAATATCAGAGAGTTATTTATTAAATTTTATTTACCTTTGCAGAGGTTGTGCTAGCATCCAAAAGAATGCTAACATAACCACAATCTAAAGTTTCTGCAATAACCTGCTTATGGATAATAGCTACAATATGAGACATAAAATCCCTGCATAGTTTGTCATTTTGATATTCACTAAGAGCAATGCCTATTTCAAATTTATTACGCAGCTAAACCAAATCTTTGAAATCCCAAAATGGCTTATTGTGCTTTGCAATATAATAAGCATTGTTAAATAGTTTTTAAAAGTGCTGAAATAGACTTTCATTTATTTTTCTTTAGCACACTGCTAATGGTGTGGACTCTGGATTTTTTACAGTTGTAACTTTCAACAAGCAATTTTTGTGGATTAGTGATCGACTGTAAAACTTGAAAGTTTCTAATGTGAATAGCCACTGAAACCTTGCACAATCCACGCATATTTATCTGCTACTTCCATATATTCTGTGGACACTCTGGACTGAGCGATACCATTTTCATATGATAATCACTGAATTTCATCATGCTACTGCTTTCTCAACTGCCTCTTGCCTTCACCTTTTTAGTACCATCACAATCGATACTGATATCACTCAGTTAAGTTCTTCATTTGACATTATTTGGAACTTGATTTGGAACATAACACCGAAAATATAGATACAGATTACACTATTAAAAACAGTTACAGAAAGGTATTGATATTTAAATATATTTATATATACTAAAAAGAAACTTCTACTACATTTCTCAGAAAATTAAAAAATTAAATATACAGTCAAAAGTCGTTAATTCGGACACCCATAATCCGGAATGATCTATAATCTGGACCTCAAAGCTAAAATCTTTCTGCGCATGCGCATAGGCGTTTTACGCGTGCACGTAAGACATTTACGACTGCACATATGCGTCTGCGCAAGCGCAGAATACATTTTCACGTGCGCGTTTAATGTATAACGGACGGTATAAGCTAAAATGATCTAATTATCTATTTCAGCTAATGTTGATGATTGCGTTGTTTCTTAATCTTTGAATTGGATCCGGCTTATTATTTTTTGTGGACTGTAAGAGCAATTTCATAAAAGTAAGCTTGAACTTTCGATTATGTCAAATAGAATTTCCGATGCTAGAGCTCCCAAAGGATCTAGAAAAGGAAAGTATGTTTCAATGTCCATCAAACAAAAAATGAATTGCTACAAAAAATGGATAGAGGCATATCCTTTGTTTATCTAACCGTTCCGAAATTTGTTTATCAATTTCACGCTGCTCTGCGCGGGGGGCGTCACGGCAGGCAATGAACTGGAAGTTGATCTGTCAGCACTATCCTTATCTTCAGGGCAGATGTTTTTATTTTATTCGGCTTATAATTCCTTACTAAATGTAGTATTTAATCTCGATGTACTCCGTCTTTGATATGATTTAAATCAAATTTCTCGTCATTATAAATATCACAAATACAAATCAAATAGTTTTCTGGTTGCAATTTTCTAATTTTGGCTATGCACGCATTGAAAGAAATGTTTAATAAAGTAAACAAATAAATATTAAGCTTCTTTTTTTGTAAATTTTGATACCCTTTAGATCATAATTGCTCATTATTTTATAAATTACGGTTGTATATTTTAAATTTTATAATTTCTGCATGCCATCTTACTAAACTGATGATCTATAATCCAGAAAAATCGATAATCCGGAATCACCTAAGTCCCGACGAGTCCGGGTTAAAGACTTTTGACTGTACTACTTTTAACTATTTTGAAAAACATGCTAGTTTACATAATTTATAACTTACTTTAGTTGGAGTTATTATAGTCATTATATCTCCTTTCTGAAAAACTAAATCTTCGTCAGAACTACCTTTGAAGCTATAACGGGCAACAACTTCAGTACCTGGTTGCCAACCCTAAAAATATTTAAACATTATATAATGATCAAATATAATTTTTAAAAGTTTGTAAGTACCTTTTATACATCTTTGAAATGCATACACAGTTTGAAAAGTAGCATGATTTAGTGCTTTTTATGGAAGACCATATGCAATGACGACTGACAACCACTGCCGAAATTTATGCCAACAGTCAATAGGATAATACATAAGTAAGGTGACCAGACGTCCCGATTTAGGCAAGACAATCCGGATTTCAGACTTCATGTCCCGGCGGGATGCCTATTTGTCCTGCTTTTCTGCAAAAGAGACTCTTAACGTCAATTAACTCGAATTGGGAGCCATGGAGCATTGGTGACACCTCGGTGATGCTTGCTTACGATAAAGCTATGATGTCATCAAAAAGGTGGGCAGCGGCTGAGTTGGTGGCTAAGGCACAGAAACAACATACGCGAAATATCTATTGCCAAAGCTCCAAGCCGGCGTCGAAGTTCCAAAGGGCACGTTTATCAAGAGACCATAAAACGAATATCATTTTAAATTTCTTTAAACTTTAAAGGAAAAGAAAATATTTTTTCGTGCAAGTAAATTAATAAATGAATTAGTTATTTTGAGGGAAAAAAAAACGAAAATCCATGTTTAATTTATCACGAAAAGTCAAAGAAACGTTTTGTCAAAGAACATTTCTTCTTAACACCTTGTTCTTCAATTTCCTGTACTGTCTGTCTATGAGAAGAACAGCTCCCGCCACAGTATCTCGCGAGTGGCGATCGCTATAGCAACAACGCTAGTATATTTCAAATATGGGCGAACCAAGGGTTGCCAATTCCTCTTTAAATGCACCAAGATGGCAAATCTTCAAGGCGTCTCTATGGAAAATGGGTCAAGGCTCATTTCTACGGCAACAGAAAGCTGCAGACTAACTGGCGAAAGCTTTTCTTATGATAGACTATACACATCGCGGACAGAGAAATTCTTGTCGCCAGGTTCCATCACCAAATCCCTTGGCAAATTCTTCCTCCACTTTTCAGTGACATAATAGCAAACTGGTTTACATTTTGTTCTATGGAACCTTTCCTTCTTTACATAAATGTTCTTTGGCTAAGATGGTTTGTGTGCGCTATTGTCATGTTTCGGAGGTTATTTATTTTTTTCTTATGTGAGTGATATTATCCGAGTCTCCATTGTAATGCATGAGTGATATTACTTATTAATATTACTTAATTCTTATTCTTTAGTGATATTACTTAATTCTTATGTGAGTGATATTACCCAAGTTCCGAGACATTGAGCATCAGTCATGCCAAAACGAAAGTCGAAATTTAACGAGGAATTACAAGGCGAGTTTGCTTTCATAAAGAAGGTAGGTTAGAAGCAACACTGATAGTGACGTGACGTGCAACAAATGTGGATCACATTTTTCCATCGCTCACAGCAGGCGTGGAGATATAATGAAGCATTTGACTACTGAGTGTCATTGTACATTGGATTACGAACTATTTTTCTGATGATTATTAGATTTGAGTTAGGTGAAAAGGAAGCTTGGTTGGCTGCTACAGAAGATACCATACGATTTATCACAATCACAGTTTTAGGTCGATGGACTGTACTTCCAAATAACGCAAAAGTTTCTGGAGAAACAGCACAGACGATTTGCAATTTTCTTGTAAATGCATTACAATAGCATGGTCTGACAAAAAAGGTTGTTTGCTTCTGTGCAGACAACGTTAACACGAATTTCGGAGGATTAAAAAGAAGAGGTTGAAACAACATTTTTGCAATATTACAATATGCCCTCGCGATGAAACTGCTAGGTATTGGTTGTGCTGCTCATATCGTCCACAGCACAATCAAAATAGCAGGAGATTGCTTACAAATTAGCCCCGTTCACATGCAACGCTCCTTCGCACAGCTGCCGTTAGCAAGGGGAGAAAAGGAGACATGAAAGAGTTTCGTCTTTAGGACCCGTTCAGAAGACCACAGTCTTCCTTCCCCTTTACATTTTAACGTGGTTTACTGTTGTTAATTTTGTAATCTGTACTTTCGCAACTGGTACCTGAAATTTCGTAATGGTTCCTGAAATATATATGCTTTTTAATTAATATTATTATTTTATAAGCTGTTATTTAGTTCACTCTTGGTGCTTGTCGCTATGGTTAAAAGATGGTAATGGATTTTTAAACTGCTTCTCGATAAGATATAGAACTCAAACTTTGTACATACACTGCTTGTGGATTTGGTGTCACGCTTTTGATTTTTAGAGGATTAGATTTTTTTCAAATTTAAAGTTGAAACGACTTTTTGCAAATATTAACAAATAAACTGAGAATCTCAGAATATTATAGTTTGCACCATAACACACTGTGGAAGAAAAAAATTAAAAATGAAATTTTTAGCGTAATTTTTTAAAAAAATATTTTGGGAGAATTTTTGAAAAAATTGTTCATATTTTTAGACTTTTTGACGCCCATTAATTTTAAAATTTCATACCTAAAAACATATCGGTTACAAACTTCCAACATTTTCACAGCTTATAAAACAAACTTTTCGCATTTAAAAAAAATTATAAAGGAAATTAATTGGATGATTTTTTTTACTTTTTTGAAAGATATGCAATGAAGCAGAATGGGAAATATTGGTTCTTCTTGGGCATCAATTCGAAACATCGGTAAACTCACTATTTTTATGACATTTATGCTATATAAGTTGTTATTGTTACCAGTTGTTAGTTCAGGGTGAGATTGGAGATATTTCTGAGTTAACTTTCTCTTAAGATGCGTTTTGCATTCCGTTGTGTTTAACATTCTTATTAGATTGAAGCATAACTACTGATTATACTTAGAGATATTCTAAACACTTGTACGAGTATTTCTGAGGAAAATTCCAAAACTTTGAAGTGTTTATGTTGATAAAATAAAATTAATTAAGCTATCATCGGATTTGAGTGCAATGACAATCATTTACGATCTATTATCAATCTATTACAAACCCGTACGCATGCAACACTATTATAATTAATTAATGTATTAAAATTGTTTTGAACGTGTTTTACAAAACAAAAACAGGTAAAGAAAAATTCTACTTGCATTTTATGAGTTTTTGCAATTTTTCTGGCCACATAAAGTTTTAAAAAAAGGTTTGTAATTTATGTTTATATTTAACTGAGAAACCTTTTGTACTTTTTTCAATAAATACTTTTACTTAAAGTTCAAAAACATATACAGGTACGGACTAATTTTTTTAATTATTTTTACTGCTTATATAAAATTATATATTTATAGAAACAAGGATGGGTTTTGCAAAATACTGAAAGGAAAAAATTACTTGAAATGAAAATGTGACTGAGATCATATTTGTTTTAAAGATTTTAGATAAAAGTGTATTTTTTTTCTCAGAAACTAATTCATTAATTGCAAAAATCATTCCTTGAAGTTACAATAAAAAAAACTGGGGGAGGAGACATTGAAAATTGTAGGAGAAGAAAAACATTTTAATTGCAAAATTTTTCTACAAAAATTTAAATTAAAAAAAATACTAGCAAAAACTTTTTTTCAGCTTAAAATTATTTTGTCTCACAAAACCATTTAATAATATTCATAAAAAGTAGATAAAAATGCTTAATTTTTTTTTTTTTTTTTAAATCATTCAAAAGGTACCGAGTCCCTTTTTGCGTTGAAGCCGATATGCACTTGTCTTAACTTTAGTTTTAATTTGAACGATATTTCTGGAATACATAGCATCAGATAACCTTGTCTGTATTTGCCTATAATTTCCGCATCTTGTACAGTTCTATCTAATTTTTGAGGGGATGCTATCACATCCCCAGACATCTATTAGCGCGATTGTTTCGCTGACAGTGCAGCGAACAGTAAATAAAATTAAGTGAACTGCACAGTATAGTACAGGAAATCTCCCCATTTGCCCTGCTCCCGAGAGGTAAGGAACATTCAACCAAGTTCTACCTCCAATTCGGCGAGGTAGTAATGCTTGTCCCATGTGAGCGGGACACGTTGGAAGAACCGGTTTTCGCTACCGGTCGAATCTGCTTTTGTGAAAGGGGCTAAATTGATGTGCAAGCAGTTATTATGAAAATTTATTATTATCTCTATATCTACACCGTTCGTGTTGAGTCATTCAAAGAATTTTGCGACTTTGCCTGTGTAGAGTACCGGCACATTTTAGGATATGGGAAAACTAGATGGTTATCACCGATGCCTGCAGTAGAGAGAGTTTTAAAATTGTTTTCTGCACTGAAATACTATTTCTTGTAGGAAGGGAAGCGCCCCACCCTAATCTGCAACTTTTTTGAGAATTTCTGTGCTGAATTGTGGCTCTATTTTGTACATAATATCGCTGCGTTGTTTCAAGTTTCAATTCTGCACATAGAAGCACAGACTGTAACAGCATTGGAAGTATCTTCTGAACTGGACGATTTAATACATAAACGCACTGAGAGAAGCACAAAAAACTTTTTGCTAAATGAAGTAAGTACGTATGCTGATTACCCAATTAGAAGAGGAAGGATTGGCAAGAAAAAATGACATTATAAGAGCCACTGAAAATTTTTACGACAACTGTGCTGGATATCTAAAAGAGTGGGTTGAGCAATTCGAAGATCTAAATGCATTTAGTTGGGTTGTGTCAAAGGAGCCACCGTTGTAGGAAAAAGTACAAGAGAGCATACAACGTTTTTGGTGGAAGATTCCGAAGGTTGACATCAATAATAACGAGTTATTTCATGAAGTAAGCTACATTAGGCAATTTACTTCACCACAAAATATTGCAGACTGGAACTGACAGAAAACTAGTCTTGACTGTCGATGGGCAGAAATTTTTCGTCATTTCAAGGATAACATACCATGTGCGCAAATCCAGAAAACTTGTGGAGTTTTTGTTGTGTCTTCCAGGGACAAATGCTGCCAGTTAAAGTTTTCTCGACTATGAATATCATATGGACAACCAAAAAGACACAGTTAAAACTGGAAACACTACAAGCAATGTTAATAGTGAAGTGCAATTTTAAGTTTGGCAGTTCCTGTGATGAAGTCTATGAAAGACTTCTACAAGAGCCAAAATTTCTAAGAAGCATCCATTCGTCAACGAAATACGTCTAAGGAGCACTTACACAGGATGATCCTTCTAGGTCAGGCCCATCGTCCACATCGAATTAATACATTTGCGCCGTCATATATTGGATGAACGGATTCAAGCAGTAAGGTAGGTAGGAAGTTACAAACTTTTATTTTCCGACTGCTTTTTTTTTTTTTTATTCTTTGTTTGCTCTTAGTCTTACTGAAAGTGTGTCTGAGTTGTCTCAGTCCAGATCCCAAAGTCGTGATTGTTGATTTAATAATTTATTCAGTCTGAGATATGGATAAATTCTATTTTTCCTTTCAATAATAGAGTCTATTTAACACACACGCTAATTCACAAATGTTGGGTAATTCTTTACAGGACAATGTGACTTCACTAAAAATTTTGCACTCCGTATTTTCACCTTCAGAAAGGGGTTCTGCCCTCTCAAATTTGGATCCCTGCATCCCACTTTGCCCTCCAGAAAATCTGGTCACCTTAACATAAGTGCACAAATATCAATTTAAAGAGCTTTGTTTTCTCTGCTAGGACAAATCTAAAGCTAAATATATGTTTTGCAAAGGACTTCATACATAATCCAAATTTCAATAATAACATGTGATCTACAAATTTTAGTTAGTTTTGTATTTCTTCGAATGGCACCACTAAAATGCTATTTTTAAATTCAAATGTGCAATAGAATATTAGGGAAAAGAAATGATTAAAACAACAATTAATTTTAATGCCATCATCTAAGAATTAATAAATAACTAACTTACTAAAAATAGCATTACCCAAATTTCTTTGTAACCCAAGATCCTATTAGTAACTGATGCTTCAATAAATATCTGCTTTATCTCACCTATCTCTTGGGGGGAAGGAAAGAGAAATTTTACTAATACTAAACATATACTAAACTTTAATTAGTTTTCATAATTAATTTTTACCTTAAATACTCAGTTTTGAATCTATATTAACTCACATGTGATTGAAAAAGAAATATTTTGTTAGCTAACATAAAAAACTAGTAATAAATTATTTTTTAATTAACTATAATTATCTACTTGTCCTACTTATAAGTAGAAATATAAGATATGAAGATATTTCTTTATTAAAGCAATCACTGCAATTAACTTCCAAAAATAGTAGACTTCAATCTCAAAACCCGTAATGAGCAACTTATATGATTTTCAGACTTAGTCACCAAAGGCCTATGCGATAGTTGCTGTAATAAAGAAATACTAATATAAATAATATTTTGCATGTAATCCTCATAAAAGAGATTTCTCTTCCCTCTTGACATAATTTCATACTTACTCTTTGAGACATTCTCTCTTGATTCATGTTGCTAAAACCATTGAATCCAGTCTCTTTTCAAATGCAAATCTAAAAAATATTAATTAAAAGAAATTTATTTTACACAGACTGCTAAACATATCATCGAAATAAAGCAAACACTAAGGAGCTGCCAAACTGCTTTACCTAAAAGGCTATGAAAATACATCATTCTTATTTACATTTCAAACATTAAGCAATCGTCTATCGTGCATTTAAATGTGTATTTATATATATGCATACATTTCCACATAATTTTTTGCCTGCAACAGCTTTTTTTTTACATTATTTTTAAATGAATACATAAAAACTTTCAAAATACTTATTTTGATCTAAAAACCATATTTACTATAAATTTCCCCCTTTTCCTACTAATTTTACGGCTAATCTTTAGAATATAGTAACAGGTAGTTTGGCAACATTTTGGTAAGGCGATAAAGGTCACTAGCTAGGACTTTAGCAATAATCTGAGAAGTACACAGTTCGAATCACAGATTATTTTGTCTCAGAGAAATGAGAGATCATGAGACGTGTAATGTGACATTTTCCGGAAAATTCCGAGCGTGATTTTAGCTAATAAGCACTTAGAAACAATTTCGCTGCTAAAGTGCAGCGAAATTGTTTCTAAGTTTCTAAATTGAATCGTCAACTTATTTGTTTGGCACTTTTTACAAGAGTAAGAAGAATTGGATTTTTGTCAATTTTCGACTTTTTAAGTGAAAATAGGTCGATGTGTACATAGATAAAGTCAAGAGTGTGAACAATGCCATTTTTGTGCAATTCTGGATTGTTTTTTTAAGTGAAAATAGGTCGACGTGTACATGGATACCATGTATGTGCAATTCTTAAAAACACGGTAAGCAGTTTGCAATTCTGCACTTTCTCCCAAATTTCGCACCTAATCTTCGTCATGATTAAGCATTTTTGTTCCATAAAAGTTCTAGTATAAAAAAAATTGGGCTAGCAGATTGTTGTAAAAAATGTTGAGGGGGAAAAAAAAAAAGTCTACTTCGTGAAAACAAAGTGGCGTCCAAAACAAAACTAGCTGGTTGCTGTAGCAGGGCAGCCAAATTTTCGCCAAAAAATTGCCAAGTTACCATAATGTAAAGATTCACCAATTTTACTACTTGAAAAAAGAGGGGTGACCATAACATTCAATTTGAAATTTTTAAGTAAAATTTCTGTTCACAGGATTTAAAACTTTCAATCTGATCATAGACATCAAATGCCGAAATGGCATTTTCTTTCAATTATGGTGTGTTGAGTTATGGCAAAGCACATGAGGGCTATCTGCCTAAGGGAAGGGATGCCTTCATGGAGGACTTTCTAAGGAAAGCTAGCTCGTATACACGTTACACATGGAGAAAACCACGAAAACTACACAGTATATTAAAAAGCACACACAGAACATTAAAAAACACATAATTAGACACATTAATATTATTATATCTACATTATATATTATTAATATGAATTAAAATCTATATTATTAATAAGAATATATCTATATTATATATTATTAATAAGAATTAATTTGTCTAGGCACAATATGAAATACTATTCGTTTGATAACTACAGTCAAAAGTCGTTAATCCGGACTCGTCGGGACTTCGGCGATTCCGGATTATCGATCATCAGTTTAAATCTGGTAAGATGGCATGCAGAAATTACAAAATTAAAAATATGAAACCGTAATTTATGAAATAAAGAACAATTATGATCTAAAGGGTATCAAAATTTACAAAAAGAAAAAGCTTAATATTTATTTGTTTACTTTATTAAACATTTCTTTCAATGTAAGTTGCTTCGTTTCATGTGATAATACTTTCTCTCTCTTTAATTCTATTAAACAGACATAATTTCTTGTTTAGTTACAAAGTTCCGCTGTTCAAGTCCTATAATTGCTTTAAATCATATCAAAGACGGAGTACATCCACATGAAATACTACATTTAGTAAAGAATTATAAGCCAAATAAAATAAAAACATCTGCCGTGAAGATAAGGATAGTGCTGATAGATCAACTTCCAATTCATCGTGCTCCCCAGCGTTAAAGATAAACAAAGTTTAAATAAACAAAGCATATACCTTTTCCATTTTTTCCAGCAATTCCACTTTTTGTTTAATGAACTTCGAAATATACTTTCGCTTTGTAGATCCGTTGCATATTAATAAATATATATCAGAAAATCTATTTGACCCTGAAGATAAGGATAGAGCTGACAGATCAACTTCCAATCGGCGGGGTGAAATTGATAAACAGATTTCGGATTTCAAAACATACTTTCGCTTTGTAGATACAAATTACATATTAGTAAATATATATCGGAAATTCTATTTGACATAATCGAAAGTTCAAGCTTACTTTTATGAAATTGCTCTAACAGTCTTCAAAAAATAATAAGCCGGATCCAATTCGAAGATTAAGGAACAACGCAATCTGCAACATTAACTGAATTAGATAATTTTAGCTTAGCTTATACCTCCGTTACACATTAAACGCGCATGCGCACAAACATATTCACAGCAGTAAAGGTCTTACGCGCACTCTTAAACGCCTGTGCGCATGCGCAGAAAGTTTGTAGCTTTGAGGTCCGGATTATGGGTGTCCGAATTAACGACTTTTGACTGTACTATCTACAGCTCTTGCCTAAATCAAGAAGAATCGCTAGTGGAATCTTGGTTGGTATTAAAAAGAACTTGACGTCCAAATTCAATATTATCAGTGACTTATCCTCTCATATTGGCGCCGAGGTGGTACAAATCGACGTTTGGAAACAAAAAACCCATTTCACTATTTATGCTTGTTATAACCCACCGATTAATAATAAATTAAGTTTCCAGGGTCTTTTCTTTCTTAACAAAACTATCCTTTGTGGAGATTTTAATGCTCATAGCTCACGGAATTATAACGATTCTAATCCTTCCGGGAGGATAATGGAGGACCTAATTAACTCAACCAGACTGGAATTAATTTATCAGAACATGGATGTTCCTTCTTATATTCATTATAATGGAAATGGTACAAATCCTGATCTGAGTTTAGCTACTGCTGATTTAGCTCGGGATGCAAGAAGGGAAGTCATTTATGCTCCTGGTTCTGGACATCGTATGATCATGACCAGTTATGGATTACAAACCTCTTACCCTTTAGTAAATAAAGTGAGAAACAGGTGGAATTTTAAGAAGGCGAAGTGGGAAAACTTTTGCTGGGAACTTGAGACTATCTTTTCCCAGCCACCTAAGTTTTTAAACCTTGAGATGAGCATCGACAAGGCATTCTTTTATTTTTCTGAATTAATTTTGACAACTGCAAAGAAGTGGATACTAAGAGGTAAACAACTAAGGTTCAAGGCTTTCTGGAATGACAGATTGACTGAAGTAAAGAGTGTATCCATTGAATCATGAAATGTTGTTGAACAAACAAAAAATCCAAAGGATGTCCAAAGATGGAGAAGTGTAGCCATCCTTAGAAAAGAAATTATTGCAGCAAAGAAAAAATGCTTTAATGATTTCATTACTAATATAGATTATAGAAAGGATTGAAAAAAAGTTTATAATTTTGTGAATGGAGTGAAAAAGGAAGAGCGTGTTCAGGGAAGAGAACCCATGAAAGTAGGTTCAAAAATACTGATGGATGATCTGGTCATTGCGGATGGGTTTAACTAATTTTAATGCAAAAGACAGCGCTTAAAAAAACGATCTAAAGAAAAGCCAAAAGATACTTAGGATAACAATTATCGAGAAATTTTCTTCTAGCTTCGGGGACCTTCGGTTTTTAATAGAGATTTTACAATTTCTGAATTGCGGGAAGCTATTGGACAAATGAAATGTAAAAAAAATCCAGACCCAGACAATATCCATATTGAATTTTTAAAGAATTTTGACGAAAACACCCTGAATGTCCTCGACTGTTCCTGCTGCCTGGGAAAAGGCCATCTTGATCCCAATTGATCTAAAAAAAAGAACAAACCACAGCAGGATTTGGACAGCTATAGACCAATTGCTTTAACTAGTGTGTTATCAAAGATAATGGAGAGAATGATTATTTCCGTCTAAGTGGTAGTTAGAAACCAATGGCTTAATATTTTCCAAACAAGCGAGATTTAGAAATTACCATTCTACAAGTCAACAAGTTGTATTCTTAAGCCAGTAAATTAAAGATGCACTTGATGAATGAAATTCTGTACTGCCTGTTTACATAGATTTCCAATCAGCTTATGATAACGTTTGGAGGTTTAAGGCTGTTCAAAAACTTCAGACATTCGGTGTTGGCGGGAAAATGTTCTTTTGGTTAAAACATTTCTTGACCCAACGTTTTTGTGCTACTCGTTATAGCACCAGCACTTCAAAATATAAACAAGTTAAAAACGGGTTTGCCTCAGGGCACTGTTATTAGCCCTATTTTCTTTAACATTTTTATTAACGACCTAAGACATCTTAGAATCAGATGGAATCGTGAACACTGCCCTTTTTGTCGATGATCTTGTCGTATGGGCCAGAGCTAACAAAAAAGATCAAGATGGTTTAAACCAAATCTTAAACTCTGCGCTCCAGAGACTTGAGGAGTGGTGTTCTGCTAATAATATGAGAGTTAATCAGAGGAGGACTACTTGTCAGTTTTTCTCTCTCAACAGACAACATTTTACTCCTAGACTAATGTATGAGAAGTCGGTATTGTAACAAACGGATGGTGCCATCTATCTTGGCTGTATTTTTGACAAGCGCCTAACCTGGAGAAAGCATGCAGTTGCTAAGGCGGAGTGTAGATTAGCTATCCTTACACGCTTAGCTGTTGTTAAATGGGGTTGTAGTAGAAAGACTCTCAACTCGACGTACAAAATGTAAATTCAACCAATACTACATTATTGCTGTGAGATATTGATCTCGGCTACACGAGATGTGATACAACGTCTGGAGGTCTTCCAAAATCAGGCACTGCGAAACTTTTCAGTTTCTACATACCAGTAGGGGCTTACTCCACTCTGATGGAGAACTGAAAACCACTCATGTAGCGCTCCAACAATTATCATTGAGACAGAGCTCATTCAGGAGGGCTATTGTGCTGTCTGATTCGACTTCAGCAATACAGGCCACCTCCTCTTACCAAGAGTGTAAGAACATATACAGTGAACAGTGTCAGGAAGTCATAAAAGAACTTTCCCACAAGATATCTTTTCAATGGGTACCTTCACACTGCGATATTTATGAGAACGAGATGGCTGATATGCTTGCGAAAAAGGGGGCTACTGTTCTCCAAAAGCCAAAAATGAGTGCAAGCCTCCATTCTATTAAGCTTCTGACATCGCTAACATATCAAAAGACTTTTAGAGACTTTGCCACTCGGGCTTGTGAGGGCAAGCCTTGGAGTGTTCTCTCCGAGAACAATAAAAAAAATAATAACATTTCTCATTCCTGCCCTGATGACAGAAAAGTATCAAAATACATTCCTATTTGAACGTACATTTTAATTATTACCGGTCATCAAACCGAGCTTTTGTTCCTGACCACCCGTGAACAGTTGCAGTTGCATCTTTTAGACTATTGACGGGACATGATCATCTACAGTATCATTTATTTCACATTGGACTAGCTGATTTGACATTGTGTATTTTATGTAATAGTGGACGGTGGAACATTTGGACGAGTGTGAAGCACTGACAAATTTTTCTTGTAGATTTCAGCACTATTGGCAAGCAAGGAATTTAATGGCCTAATGGCCAATGTAACTGGCATTTGATAAGTAAAATAATAAGATTTCTCATTCCTACCCTGATGACAGAAAAGTATCAAAATACATTCCTATTTGCACGTACATTTTAATTGTTACCACAAGTCAGATGTTTTTAAATCATATGCTGAAAAAAGTATGGGGAAAATATGCAAATGAGTACGGTATTATGAGGAAATTTACGAAATATCTTTTTTCTTGATCTTTAAAAGATGAAATTCACATGAAAAAAATTTCCTTACATTATATTTATTTAAATATAAGATTTTTTTCGGGGGGGGGGGGGGTCTATATTTTTGTTCTAAAATTTGGTAAGGTCTTATATTCATAGATATAAGACCATAAGATTTTTATATTCATAAGATATAAGATTTTTTTGGGGGGGGTCTACATTATGATAAATTAAACTGTAGTATCAGAGAAGTTCATATATATATATATACAGAATAATTACAGCATTTAAACACTACACCATACAGGTAATAAATATAAAAGAGCCTTCTTACAATTAGCCCACAGGCAAAATAAATATTCACTTACATTTTAATTTCTTAGAATTTATGAAGTACGGAAGGCCTTGTATTCACGAGGACATAAATCCTTTATGGCAACTGCTTGAAATTTCTGTAAATATTTAAATCCCTTTTTATAGTATTTCTGTAAATATTTAAATCCCTTTTGATAGCATTTTTATTATTCTGTATTGTTGTAATATTGCATATTGCTTTGTTCAGTTACTTATTCTTTGTTACTTTGATGCAATAATTCTAGGATACACTTTTTATTTAACTTGATTTCTGACCCCATGTTTATTTCATATATCAAATTAGTTCTTTTAGTTCTGAGTGAAAAAATGCTTAAATTGTAAAAGTACCTCAAGTAGTAGGGATATGGCTAAATATGCTCCTGATGGACCTCGGAGACACTAATACTTAAAAACTTACAAAAAAAAATTTAAAAACTAAAACTAAATTCTAATAAAAAACACGGGCTCATAGAAGTTCCTTTGTATCTTGTGAAATTTACCACTACTGATATAGAAAATAAAATTAAAAAAGGAGAGAGGAACTCACTTAAAGGGACACAGCAAAATTATTATTATATTTTTTAAAATCAGAATGAAAAAGTATTAGGCATTGATACAAAACTGAAATAGCTAAAAACAAGTTGAAATGAAGCTCTTGGAAGTATTTTAATACTTGTCAACATCTAGAAAATTATCCTTTAAAAAGACATGCTATTCTACATAGATATACACATGAATATGCTTAAAGCAAGATAAAAGTTACTGCATGTATTAATAATGAAAACTATTTCTTTACATAAAGAAAGTTGAACCATAACTGATTTAGGAAATTATAGTTTATAATCATACATTTATACTGATAAATGGGTACAACTCTAATATACGCCCTAATTTCACCAAATGTGGCGATATGTGTTCTGAGCTGGTTTTTGGCGCGATTGCGTGTTCTATGGCAACCCTGTTGACATTGAAAAATCTTTCACTGGAGCTCATTGGTTCGCATCTGTGTCTGAGAAGATGGGAGGGAAAGATAAAATAGTAGTTGTTGAATTGAAGTTCGGCAAAAGGAAATATGATTGTGGCTATTCTGTTGAGGGGTAGTGGGTATTTCGAAGTGTGGAAAGAGGGTCTGGGAGATTATTTTTAATGGCAGTGCATGATAGAAGTGGGGATTTGTGATTTTATTTATTTGTGAACCATAGTATAAATTTTCTGGATAGTGTGTCTGGCTGTCGTGTAAATACAATAGTGATTACGTGGCAGCATGTTAAAGGCGGTATGAAATTTATATTTCTGCTATTCGAAAACGCATTAATTCATGGTAAGTGCATTTTATGTTATCCTTGTTCTTATTTTGTAGAATGTTATGTTCATTGGTTCTTTAGTATGAATTTCTGTCGTTATTGTTGTTTTTTTAAATTGTTTGAAATTTATTGTAGTTTATTTTGTTGTTTATTGTCTACACTGTACAATTCGTAGATGTTTTTTAAAGTTCAAACAGAATGCTGTGTACATGGTATTATTTGAAATTTATTGTTGTTATGTTATTTTATTAAAGCGAGGAGTGCGTAGATCGTAGATTCCTTCCTTGCCTAAATTGTGCAATTCGTAGAATTTTTTTTAAAGTTTAAACAGGATACTGTGTACATGGTATTCTTTGAAATTTATTATTATGTTAATTTATTAAAGCGAGGTGTGCGTAGTTGTAAATTCGTTCATTGCCTACATTGTGCAATTCGTAGATGTTTTTTTAAGTTAAAACATGTCGCTGTGTACATGGATTCTTGTCAAATATTTTTGGTTAGTTTTTGCTATCTAAATTTTTTGTTTTTGTTTCAGATTTTTTAGCTAAATTGTGTGTTCAAAACGTAGTTTTTGCATGTGCGAAAACCGCGTTTTTGGAGACATTTTAGGCTAAAAGTTCAAAATGTAGACAAAAAATTTAGATAGTAATATGGCAGCGTGAAGTTTCTCGCCAAAAATATTTGGCAAGAAATTTGGCGACTTGAGGGCGCATATCAGAGTAGTTCCAATAAATGCCATGTAAAGTGACAATAACACGAAATAATAAGGCTCTGATGAAAAATTATATAGTATACATTACCTGATGATGAAAGTTAATAAAATGTTTGCTTTTTTTTAAAAAGGAAAATAACCTAAAAATATACATACATATATATGCATGCATATGTGAACCCATTCATCTATCCATAGATGCATACATACATTTCTGAATCTGGTCATGATAAGAGATGAAGGTTAGAGTAGAGAGAAGGGTATCCCTTGTATTATCGCGAGGTTGTTGTTTCATTTATGGTAGCCTGAGTAGTTGAATGTTACGGAAACCCTTTTATGACATAATTGGTTGCATGATTGCAGTAAATTTGTAAGGCTTGTGTGCATGTTTATTAGGAAGTACACTGCTCGTTTTGTGGTTTAGATGGTAAAATGGCTGAATGTGGTAAGATTAATTTGAAGTTTCTGTATGATTTGGAAAAAAAAGAGAAAAAGAGCATTACTTGACTGGTGTGTAAATGAAGGTTTACTTAGTTGCCATTAATTAAGTGTCCTGTTTGTAGGAAGGAATGCATACTAATGTAGAATGTGTTTGTAGGAAGGAAATGTGTACAATACAAAATTCAGATATTCCAAGTAAAAAAAAAAAAAAAGTCAGTATAGTAAAAAATTTCAGAATTGTATATTCATTTCATTTTTAGGTTTTCCAAATGCAAAACAACTCCTTATATACAATGCCATACTAATTAAAGGAAACAATAATGTTACATATGTATATTTCAGAAATTTTCCATTATATATATAGGATTATAATATACATAATAGATATAAAACAGTTCTCACTAATACAAGAAATAAACAAAAATGTACTGCTTTCAAATGCAGAAAATTTGGCCAATTCATGCATATTTCTTTTCTGTTCAAAATCAATGCCAAAATGACCAGAAAAAAATTAATATTAATTCTTTACCTAAATCTTTTGTTTATTCTGTAACTTGATTCTAATACACAGATATCAAAACATTTCATTAAAAAATTCATGTATTTAAAACACTTTTCCCTATTTACGAGATTTTAATGCTTTTCTCAACAGAAAATTCCTACTTTGTAAAGTAACCTAAAATCCCGGCATTCTGAAATTATCAATCCCAATATTGTTTACACTGAAACGTAGCAAACGATATGTTATTTATAAAACTCCTACATTTTAGTTATTCTATAAATGAAATACACTTGAATCGGATTTCATAATATTTGTTTCATGAAAAGTTTCTAAATTGACACTTGAGCAAAAGAAATCTTTCAGCGATATTTCATAATTTTCATTCCCAGTATAAAAAGTTGACACATACTATTCCAGAGCAGTCATAAGCACTTCATAACCTAAGTAACAACGATACATTTAAAAGCGAAACTATTGTAATGTATGATACACATAAGCAACAAAATATCATAATATACTTGGTGAGTGGTATTTTGACACAAGCAGGTAGGCATATCTGTGTTATCAACGAACCATCACTCGATACAATATTTGCTTGCTCATTGAAATAACACAATTTATATAAGTACATGTAAGTCTTATATATAAGTACATGATTTAAAGTTTTTTCTTAGTGTAGAAAACTTACCACACAATGCATACACGTGAAAAATAAACACAAAATAACAGACATTACACTTAAATTTCGTTTGCACGGTTGGCAACTTTCAGCGATACGAAATGAATGCTTGGAATGTTGAATCGCCAAGGTAAATAATTTAAATGAAATAAACAGAAACAGTTCACTATCGTCTATAGATAAACATTATCGTTAGTAATAACAGTATCGATAAACTAAAGATAGAAGCTTTTGCTCCGAACGCCTTTTTCGTAAAGGAACATTTCGGCTATTAATTTATGTGAACTTTCTTGAGTGGCAACACTCATAAAAATCACACAGACCAAAGAATCAAAAAGTGCGAAAAGCGAAACTTGTGGCTGAACCTGAACCATGGCGGCAAGGCGTGCTTTGCATTTTGTTTTTAAAGTGGGAGACCGAAAGGAAACCATTAAATTTTACACCGAAATTTTGGGAATGAAGGTAAACTGAAAGAATTGAATTGTAAAATTTAAATACCTTACTTTAAATACTTAAGTATTTTTAATGTTAATATTTCTACGCCATGCCCAGCATATTAAATTGGTTGATCTTTACTGTACGGTACCCCTTGGTTTCTGTCTGAAAAAATCGCCAAGTGGTATTGGTTGTCCGTGAAATCTGGAAGCCCAATGCGTGAAATAGGTTTTTCAGTAACCCTAATGTTGATAATGTTGGCGAAACTAGCCTTTGGGAAATTTTTTTTTTTTTTTTTTTTTTTGTCATTAAAAAGGTTTTTTTTTTTCTAAGAATATCACCAAGCGTATTATGATAAACTTAGATTTTGGTTATTTGGTTATTTTTTATAATAGTAACTCTTTCATATGGACCCGAGTTTGGTTTTCAGTTGCAGTGTTTGTTTGGATGTATATGGTATGTCTTGGATTTCAAACTTGCTATTATTTTGCTGAGGGTACTATCATTTGAGTATGTGTGAGGTGGGTAAGAGGATGAATGTTCATTAACAGTGGATGAGCCAAAGCGACCAAAAATTTAACTGAATTGCTTACATGGTGGATGGAGGAGATGGTGGGAAGCGTGAACATATGCATGTGAAAAAAAGGTATGTTAAAAAAATTGATGTTTCATTTATTTATTCATCTCTGTGTATTAATTTAGAAGTCAAACAACAAAAATCAGAGTTATACTTTCAAATTTTCACAGGACTAGTTTTATTACATAATAAATACATAATATTACATAATAAAATGCTTTATATATTTAACTGAGGCTAAATTACTTGTATTTAAAATTTATAGACCGATCCATATGGCCTCAAATTCAAATTACATGCCGGGTAATGCATTATATGAAAACAGCCTGACTGGCCGAAATTTTCTTTTACTAAAATGAATTGATTTCATTTAACAAAACAACATTTTTTCAAACCAAACTAAATTTTGAAATTTTTTTACAACATATTTATTCAAATATACATAAATAGTAATATTAATGACAGGAAGAAAAAAATTACAACTGATATTTAGTTTCCGTCTCAAATCTAAAGATTGTTATCTATAAGAAACTTCTGTAACACTTCGTAATTCAAACATATCGACAGCTAATTATTAAACTTTCAGACTGACATTTATTTTAGATAATTCTATTGTACTGAATAAACTGCTTAATACCTTACTTTTTAACTTTCATTAAAAATAAATTATGATATTTTTCCAAGTAGGATAAATCTTAATAATGACAATCTCTTAATAATAATAAATGATAATCTTGCTTTTATTTATTAAATTTTTCAGTTAGAGTAGACTTTAAGCACCCCTTGTATTATGGCGAAGTTGTTTCATTTATGGTAGCCTGAGTAGTTGAATGTTATGGTAACCCTATTGTGACATAATTGGGTGCATGATTCTGGGAAATTTTGAAGCATGAGATGTTTGTAAGAACTTTTGTGGTGTGTGTTGCTTTTATTGTTTAGACGGTAGAATGGCTATACTTAAGTAAGATTAATTTGAAGTTTCTGTATGATTCAGAACGAAAGGAGAAAAGGGCATTGACTGGTGTGTAAATGAAGGTTTACTTAGTAGCCATTATAAGTGTCCTGTATGTAGGAAGGATATGCGTCTAGTCGAATGTAAAAACCGTTTAGATGGATTTGTAGGAAGATAGGTTCAGATGTGGCGACGCCAATACACGGATTCAAGTTCAGATAATTTTAGGAAGTTTTTGGATGCTGTTAAGGAATTTTGTGTGCCACAAACTAAAGATGAAGGAACTTGTAAATAGGGTAAGTGGATATTTGCTTTTTGTAGTACTTAAATATATAACATGTTTTTCCTTTTTATGTTATTTTGTTTGGTTTAAAATGTAGTTTATTGAGATTATGTATTTTTTGTTTGCCTGTATTGTAGAATTGGGTGCTCCTTTGACTTTTTTAATGAAAATATATTGATGTGTACATGGACAAAGTGAAGGGAGTGCACAATGCAGGTTTGTGCAATTCTTGGATTTTTTTTTAAGTGAAAATAGGTTGACGTGTACATGGATAAAGTTTGCACAATGCCATTTTTTGTGCAACTCGAGGATTTTTTTAAAATTGAAAATAGGTCGATGTGTACATCAATACCGAGCTTGGGCAATTCTTTGTCTTGTTATTTTGGCTTTGCATAGTGGCAATTTTTGAGGCAGAAATCACCGTTATGTAAGCCAAAATAATTTGCACAAACTTAGAATCCATGTATCGCCAAGGGTACCCTAAAATATACTTTTACCAATTTTTCTCTGATGCATACAGAAAAAATACACGTTTGTATGTAAATAATCATTCCTTATTTCTTACTACCATGGCATTTTGATTTTGATAAAGTTCGCAACCTTGGAGAAATAAAACTAGAAACTATCTTCATCAACAGTTGTAGATGCTCACTGTCAATCCTTTTCTTTTTTTAAGTTTATTGATTTTTAGCTCTGGGAAACAAAGCTGTTCACATATAAATATACTCCTAAATGAAGAGATTATTCTTACAGCAAAAATTCTTTAACTCAGGATATTTATCTTTTGAAAAATACAAAAAAAGGAGTACATAAAAAAGTGGGTGAATCTTTACATTATGGTAACTTGGCGATTTTTTGGTGAGCAACCCTGCTACAGCAACCTGCTAGTTTTGTTTTGGATGACATTTTGTTTTCACAAAGGAAAAGCTTTGGTTGATCTTTACATTATGGGCCCACCAGCGGCAACGTCGCTGAACACTGGTAGTTCGGTCCGAGGTTCGAATCCCACGAACGGGCTGGCTGCATGGGTGTTTTCGTGGTTTTCCCCATGTGTAACGTGTATACGAGCCAGTTTCCCTTAAAAAGTCCTCCACGAAGGCATCCCTCCCTTAAGGCAGATAGCCCTCGAGTGCTTTGCCGTAACCTAATAAACCAAACCAAAACCTTTACATTATGGTAACTTGGCATTTTTTTGGCGAAAATTTGGCGACCAACTCTCCTACAGCAACCCTCTATTTTTTTTTCCCCGCCGCCATTTTGTCTTCACGAAGTAAAGACATGTTTCTTTTCTTTTTATCTACTGAACACTTCTTCCAACAATCTACTAGCCGAATTACACTTATGCTAGAAATTTTATCTTACAAAACTGCTTAATCATGACAAATATTCACTGCAAAATTGGGAAAAAAGTGCACAATACCATACTCCTTACGCGTTTTTCAAAATAACACATACACATAAACCATGTACACGCCGACTTATTTTTTACTTAAAAAAAATCCCAGAATTGCACAAAAATGGCATTGCGCACACTCTTCACTATATATCCATGTACACTGCTTTTTTCTCATAAATTAGAAAAATTTCACGAAAATACATGACAATTTTTCTCGATCTTTAAAAAACCCGGTAAAAAGAACATATATGAAATTACCTGATCGCGAAAAAGTATTTACCCTTTCCAAATATGAACATTTCCACAGATAAAATAAATAAAATATCCAAAAACTTTTACCTCTAAATCATCTATTACATTATACACGTCACCAACGAATTCATACCGCAAGCATTACAAATACTTAGTATCAAATATTTAAATTATTTCCATGCACGTTTATTTCAACTTAAACGTATACCAAATTCCTACAAACTTAAAATTCACAAAATAACTATCATTTAATTAAAATATCACTAAACCATGTACACGTCGACTTATTTTTACTTAAAAAAACATCCCAGAATTGCACAAAAATGGCATTGGGCACATTCTTCACTATATCCATGTACACTGCTTTTTTCTCATAAATTAGAAAAATTTCACGAAAATACATGACAATTTTCTCAATCTTTAAACCCAGTAACAAGAACATATATGAAATTACCTGATCGCGAAAAAGTACTTACCCTTTCCAAATATGAACATTTCCACATAAATAAAATATCCAAAAACTTTTACTCTAAATCATCTATTATATTATAAATGTCACCAACGAATTCATACCGCAACATTACAAATACTTAGTGTCAGATATTTAAATTATTTCCATGCACGTTTACTTCAACTGAAACGTATACCAAATTCCTACAAATATAAAATTCACAAAATAACTATCATTTAATTAAAATATAATTAAATTAAAAAACACTACTTAAAATATAAATGAGCCCATACATTAAATTAATAAAAATTACCTTACAATCCTAATTACTTTAAACTAAATCATTGCTAATAACAATTTTCCCAATAATACCAAATTCCTTTACTTCCACCTTACATTTAGAACAATGCATAAAAATATTATCCTCAAATAATTAAAAATACTAACTTACCTCATCTTCTTCAGAATCTTGATTACGTGTCCGATAAACTTTTCTTTAGTTACGGCCATGGGATCCAAAAATTCACGAACACTGTTTCTCACAACACAGAATAAACCAAATACAAAATTTCCAGATTTTTTCCCGATTTCCCCCCCCCTTTTCCGATTAAAGAACCGTAATTCGTCCATTAATATCACATGACATATCCCATGATCTCTCATTTCTCTCACACAAAATAATGCGTAATCGGAACTGAGTACTGCTCACATTATTAGTCCCAGGTAGTTACCTTTATCGCCTCCAAAATGTCGCCATTACCAGTTACCATATTGTAAAGATCAACCAAAGCTTTTTTTTTCTCTCAATATTTTTTCCAACAATCTGCTAGCTGAATTATGCTTATACTAGAACTTTTATGGAACAAAAATGCTTAATCATGACGAAGATTAGGTGCGAAATTGGGAGAAAGTGCAGAATCGCAAACTGCTTGCCGCGTTTTTAAGAATTGCTCATGCACGGTATCCATGTACACGTCGACCTATTTTCACGTAAAAAAACATCCCAGAATTGCACAAAAATGGCATTGTGCACACTCTTGACTTTATCTATGTACACATCGACCTATTTTCACTTAAAAAGTCAAAGAAAATTGACAAAAATCCAAATTCTTCTTACTCTTGTAAAAAGTGCCAAACATATAAGTTGGCGATTCAATTTAGAAACTTAGAAACAATTTCGCTGCACTTTAGCAGCGAAATTGTTTCTAAGTGCTTATTAGCTAAAATCACGATTGGAATTTTCCGGAAAATGTCACATTACACGTCTCATGATCTCTCATTTCTCTGAGACAAAATAATCTGTGATTCGAAATGTGTACTCCTCAGATTATTGCTAAAGTCCTAGCTAGTAATCTTTATTGCTTTATCAAAATGTTGCCAAACTACCTGTTACCATATTCTAAAGATTAGCCAAAAAGTGTATTTAAATTAATTTGATACCTTTGAATAAGATTTATATATCTGTGTAAATTATCTATTCTGTTATCCAGACCAGAGTCATCACTAAATGTTTTGCTAAACTTGCCAACAGATTGATTTCTATGAAGTCACCAATTTTTACTTTTAAAATAGCTACAATGCTTACATTCAAAAAAAGCAAAAGAATGCATTCAAAACTGGCAACGAGAATACAGATTCTAAAGATGTTCACTTTTTTTTTTTCTTATTTTTGTATTTTACCACAGCTTTGAAAATCTGGGACTTGCCTAATGATGAAACATTTTCCATACAATTTCTTCAGGAACAAAGAATCATTCGCTCACGAAGAAATTGCATGAAAATACACAAAATGAAGTTCTACTTCAGTTCAAAAAAGTACTAAAATAGAGATGAGAAGATGCGAATTTGAACATTTCAGCATTAATTATAATTTTATCAATCGTGATACTACCAATCATACTCAAACTTTTGAAAAGTTGGACAGCACGAAATAGACTTCAACACGGCATTGAACGTAACCAATTCTTATTTGAGGTAATGTGGCGCCAGCAGCACCCTAAAATGCAAATCTTTTGAGACATTTTAAATGATATCCACAGTTTCATGCCTCTGCATTAATCTCAATTTGCTAAATTCCCTAACCGATTTTTTCCCCTAGTTTCTTTGGTAAGTTGTTTAATTTACATTAAAAATTTATAATTTTAGGAATATTTTTTATGTTTTTTTCCCCCCTTTGGACCTTTCTTCAATTAAACTGTACTGCAAATATTTTGGAGATTATTTTTAGGCTTCAAATTTTTCACTAGATCATCAGCTTTTGGCAATATCTGAATACAGGCCAATACCTAAATTAATTAGCTACATTTGAAGATTTTCTGAGGCATTACTTATGTTAATAAAAATAATATCAGAGTTGACTCCAAATCATTAAAAATCTTACACATTTCTTCAAATTCTTGTCTTAATAATTAATGTTATAAACAGTGCTAATTAATTTATGAGAAATGTATTTATGGGCAACGTAAAAATACTTCTTGGGGCCATATGTGGCCCACATACCATCAGTTTAAGATCATTGGTCTTATATACAAAGCAAGAGATAAGAAGAATAAAAGCGATGAAAAAAAATCACTCGTTTTGAAATTTAATTTTAAATTCCAGAAAGCAAGAGGGTAAATTCAGAGTAAACAGCAATTGAGCATAGTTGAAACAATTTTTACATGAAGTATTCTTTCATTTGAAGAAGGGAAGAACATCTCATTACTTATTCTCATATTCTTAAAACAACTCAAATAATTTTAAACAATTAAATGTGCTCAAATTAACTGACAAATCTTTTTATATTTTGATGACGAAATCGCATAAAACATTATTTTCTCTCTATGCATCATTTTTAATAATAATAACATGAAACTTACTGAGGTATATTATCACATTATCGAGGATATCACATTATAAAAATTATCACATTATC